TGCCACCTGTCCCCATTTACTCATCAGTTCAAGTGTGTATTTAAGTCTTGGTGTTTCCCCCATGTGGTTGTTGGTTTGTCATCCTTCGTCCTGTTCATGTATCTTGTGATTCCTCGTCATGGTCATGTGTCCCGTCACCTCTTGCCACGTTTCCGCGTAAGTTTTTTCATGTCCTTCCATGTTCCACTCCTCTGTTTGTTTTTAGTGCGACTTTTGTTTATTGAGGATTTCTTTTGTTACTTTTACCTTTTAAATAAAGGACACCTTTTGTTAAACAGTATTTAGTTTCTGCGTCTTGGTCCTTCCCTTTTCCTTCCACGTCCCCCCCACACCTACCTGACACATTTAGATAAGTAATTGCATTGAAATATTGTTTTATCATAGTGTTTTATGGTGTTAGAGGTGAATTACTACTACTGATGAAAATCAATTAACTCTTACACAGTAAGACTTGTGTTTCAGAGAAACACACAGTGCAGTCACATATGGAAACACATACTGTGACAAAGCAGTAGTTAATGAGTAAAGATGAATATGTGGGGTTGAAAAGTGAGTTATCTGTAGAGAATAAAACCCACACCATCCTCTTGTTATGCTCAATAAGTGAAATAAAAGTTGGAGCATTCAAGTAGCATGATCACACATTCATTGCCCCTGCTCATACCTGGCATTAACAACCACCTCCACCTGAAGCTCTTAGAACAGTTGTGGTTGATCCCAAGATGCACTGATCACTCAGATCACATATATTACTGGACAGATTTTCTATTCTTTCAAGTGAGGAGAATCTTATTTCATGGTAGGTGGACACACACACATATGACAGCCTTGTCTGTCAGACAACAACAACCTGTGATCTTTGATGTACGTATCTAATTTCAGTCAAAAGTGGTGAGGGCACATGTTTTACCAGGAATGAACAGAGCCACTGATGAGAAACTGAGTCACATCAAACCTACAGTACAAACTACAGCACTACTGACAAAGACTGTGGATGGAGTTGGAGTTATATGTAATGATATATTAATTATTATTTAATGTTATAGTCTTTATGGTGCTCTAATATATAACACTTAAAGCAGCTCAGGTTGAGGTAACGCACCTCCGTTGAGAATGAAACATAGTATTCACAGCCGATTGACTGAAAGACAAATTAAGTCGTTTTACACCAAAAGCATCCTGACAAACATACATTTGCACACGCTACCTACGACACAAAGCATACAAAACACTTTGCATTTCAACTTTTTAACCAAGTTAAAAGTCAATTCCATCTAAATAACAAACTTAAGACTTCAGCTTCTGTATTTTTCTTTTTACTTACTTGCCGTGATTCATGATTACAGTGCAGTTGGGCCAGCAGTCGTGATTCACAAGGCACAAATTTGGGAAAAGTCCGACTCCCACTGCCTGAAGACCCCTCTGGTCGCTGACTGTAAAGCCATTGCAGTTAATCTGGGGGAAAGAGGGGAATAATTGTGCTTGAACACAACAGATATGAATGGTACAGATTTCAAAATAATCTTATTATTTTTCTATACATGCTTCAGTGTCCCAATTTACTTGCAATATGAACCAAATATGTGATAATGAGTTGAGTGAAACACTCATGTAACCTGTTACACTGTGTGCCGGCTGGGAGTCAATTATTAAACGTGTGCTGTAGACTCAGGTATAAAGAGCACGTCTGACTTAGCCTCAGGTATTTACTGCTGTGTCAATTGGTAAAAACAACAGTTCTAGTGATAAAGATAACTATCCAAATATTAGATTTTATGTGTTGACAAAGACACACTGAACATTAGTTTCAGTGTGGGGCAGATTCTACCCACTGGGGCAGATTCTACCCACTATTTTCATTTGCTTCTTAAGTGAAAGAAGCATCCCCTGAATTTGGACACAACTTTTACATATTTGCAGTCTCCATATTTTGACGCACCACTCCAAAAACATGCGAGATGTCGTTGATTGTGTGCTGTTTGCTGTTTCTGGGCCAGTAATCGAGGAAGTTGTGGATGTCCACTTTGAAGTCCTGCATCTCCTCCTCTTGCATATCGCTGATGTGATCCTCCAGCTCCTCTAGTGTCGTCAGCTGCATGTCAGACACCACGCTCCCTTCCTTGTCGAGTCGCCACATGATGCGGGCAACCAAACTGGCCACAAAAAATAAAAGAAAACATATGACTGTGAGAGCTAAAAGGGAATCGGACACACATTATCTTGAGACAAATTGAAAAGTCTACCAAAACGGAGGCTGTTATATAACACAGTTATACAACTTTAAGCAAGTACATAACAGTAACACAAAAACAAACCTGATGCAACTCAGAGATAAGCGATAACCAGTGGCCTAATGGTTCTATTCTTCACTTTATTAAATATGTTTTTTTGCATTTCCTTAGGTTCTCTTGATCAAATCAAAACCGACATTATACTGAACAACCCTCTTCTTTCCAAATTTAATAGGGTGGATTAGTCAAATATAGTTTTGTCAGTAGAAAAGAAAGAAAGAAATCTCAAACAACTATAATGTGTATAATTCAGTGATCAGTGATTCCCTTTGCCTCCACTTACCGGATGTTCTCATTTGGTGCTTTGCCAAAGGCTTTGATGGCACTGCACTCTTGCTTGTGTTCGGCCCAGCCGGCTCGCTGGCAGGTACGGTCGCAATAATGAGCAAACTTGCACTGGCCGCACTTCTGCAGCTTGTCTTGTCTGCGGAAACAGCTGTGGCAAATACGCTCCGCAAGACTGTGGAAGAACAAAGGTAGCATTTTAAATTTAGATCATCACAAAATCATCCGAAAATCGAATTTGAGATTATTTCATAACACGAGTTGCTGTTAATTGTTGTTAATAGTATAAACATGGTTATTACAAGCATCATGGGTAGAGGCAGTGACTATCCATATCTCATTTTCATCAGTTTCTGTGCAAAAGATATTTTCCTTATTAGTCATGTTTCAAACACTGGTGTTATTGATGATATTAATGGAACATGGAAAACAATATTGGATGAGGGATACACAGGCTTAAATATTAACCACAATATCAGTCACATTTTGATGGTTATTTTGTCCATTTCAAATTGTTTCCCAGTGATGGTCGAGATGATGCAGCTCATCTTTGCCTGATAAGTGAGCCCAAAGTTTCCAAACAGCTTTTTGTTTCTGATTGTTCCAGAGAAGATGAATTGTTTGGTATTTGCTTCTTCTTTCATGTTGCTCACACTATTATAAGTTAGTTGTGTAAAAGGGTCAGTAAATCAGATTCTATTGCCCTTAAAGGTCCAGTGTGTAAGATTTAGGTGAAAGGGATCTTTTGGCAGAAATCTAATGTAGAATAATCCTCATGATGTTTTCACTTGTTCGTTTCATCTAAATTTATGAATTGTAGTTTTCTTTACCCTAGAAAAGGCCCTAAACACTGTACCTTTAAAAACCGAAAAATGTAAGAGGACAGCTGAGGCCCAACAGTCAGCTTATGAGACAACCACTAGATTCAGATTTTAATTTGGATCAGTACTAAATTTCACACATTCATAAATATTAGTCCCTTAAACATGTGTTTTCATCATGATTCATAAATGATTCTCTGAGAAATCAACCAAAAAGCATAGAAATTCCTATCTCGCAGTGTTAAAGTGGGGGAAAAAATCATGAATCCCTCTTATCCAGACCCCCACCAAAATTGAATGGGTTCATCCTTGGGTCATGGTGGGGCACTACTCATTGGTGTAATCCTACTATCTAACAAACAAACCAAAAAAACATTAACATAACTATCTTGGAAGGTGGAAATATAATCTATCAATAAATTGACCAAATCTTAACACATTCCCAACTATATCCACAGTTTGCATCATCACCATACCTGTCAAACACAACAGCCGACAGACTGGGCTCGGAAAAAATCACATCCCCGGCCCAAAACTCCTTGGTCGCCTTCAGACCCCTCCCTTTTCCAGGTGAGTTGAATATTGCCACGTTCTCCATGGTCGCTGCACTGGTTCCTGAGATGCTGGTCAATGAAGGTGAGCTGAGAAGAGAGGAGCGTTGTAGTAGAGCTTAAATACAGCGATAGGGTAGTTGAGAAACTTGTGGAACGATCTGTGCCCTCTGTATTCTTCAATGACAACTGCACATTCCTCAGCCAGGGTACTAAAATAGCCCTCCACCTCTTGAACTGTACCAAGAGAGACAGAAAAAGGGTAGGCAGTGTCACATTAGTTCACTAATGTTGGCAAACAGATATGTCAATAAAAGCAACAATCTTGCTAAAGAGGAACATGACTGAACTCATTGTCATTCTCAGAGCTCTTGCCTTTTATTTGAGCAGTGGTCTCACGTTCTGATTTTTTATCCTGTTGAGTGACCCCAGCTGTGACTTGGTAGGTGCCTGGTCCCTAAAGGTTATTTTTGTCCCTCAGTTGTTGCTGTCAGTCAGCAGTGTGTGGTGACGTTGGACAGCTGCGAGACAGAAGCTGAGCTGGTCCATCTCACTGCCTCTACTGTGTTCTAGTGCTTTCTATCACTCACTTATGATGATGAAGATATTATTGTCTCACTCACAAATACACCAACCCAGCAGGGGCCCGAGGATGAAGGTCAGTCCCCACACTGTAGCTACCAGGGGTAGGTCCCCACATTGTGCTATACAAACGATTAGACACAACCAAACTCCCTCATGGACACATTTACCCACACATCTTTATAGTTTCAACCACACCTTTCTTGCTCAGACAGGCCAGGGCCGACCACAGGCAGAAACCCTCAAGTACAACGCAGCTGCTTTGGGCCCCAACCGCTGGGGGTGGGGGGGTTATTCATGGAAATCTGGTCCTCACAACTTTAAAGGGCTGGTTGAGGTCTAGGTTTGAGGGTTAGGGTTAGAACTATAGGTTTAGGTCAGGGTTAGACATTTAGTTGTGATGGTTATGGTAAGGGGCTAGGGAATGTGAGTGTGAGTGTCCTCACAATAGAGAGACAAGTGCCACACAATACATTTTAATAATTTTTTAATGACTGAAAAGTACAAACAGTACATGTACATACTTATATCACTTTTAACACAAATAAATATGCACTTTACACAAAAACATGAGTGACATTATCATTGTACAAGAAAACAATGTTTTAAACCAGTCACATTTTGATTTGTACTGGGTGGAACAAAGTTTATGAAAACCCTGTTTATTTTTATAAATCGCTTCAACGTCAGCGAATCTCCACTGTTTCACCATCATGCTGGTTCATGACCCTAGGGAATTTTCTGAGTGAAAACTCAGTTTCAGTCAAATAAACTGAACAGTTCAACTGTGAAGAATCTAAGTTAACTGTGTGTTGCTTGTCAGTATTGAAAAAAGTATTCATATGTTAGCATGTGCTCTGCTGCTCTGCACAAGCTTTAAACAGGTTACTGGTGACAAGATCGGCTGAGTTGGCACAGTTTGCCATCGATACACACGTAAAATCTAGTGATATACATTTGTTAATAGTGATTCTTCATTCTCTAATATACGAACATCACACTTCAAAGAAGTCGAGGTGTTTCCCTGAGGGAAAATCATTTCCAAGAAGCAACTTAACCAGTTTGATTGCAGACTCCTGGCAGGGAAACAGACAATGACTGGTGCCTGTTAACCTCAGAATATCCTCCTGCATCTCTGTGTCCATCGGACCTGAAGGAAACGGGAATAGATGGAAGGATTAGGATTTTCTCCTTTATATGTCGTGCACACAGTTGTTTAAATGTTTGTGTTGTAATATCCTAGAACATGGCTTAAGTTATTTATATTCCCAAGGTAAATAAATGCTTTCTGAGACTATATTTTCTGGTTAGATTAAACATAGCTAAGATTTGGCACATATCTTTCCAGGTCTACACACTGGCAGCTGGCGCCTCTTTCAGCTGGTGCATGTTGGACGAGCAGTAAAAGTGCTCAGAAATATCTAATGTTTGAACATCGACAGTGTCTTGACAGTTCAACAAACTTCAGCTGTTGATGAAAACTGTGATGTCCTTGAAACGTCAGAAATGTATGTGGGCCTTGATTGTAAACTGTTTTGTTAACTGGTGTTTCCAATGTCAAACATGAATTATGTGTTAACTTTGTAACAGAGTATGGCTTCACTAAAGCAGTCATTTGTAGATCTGTGTTACCTGGTGAATAGCTGAGGACCTTGACATTTGGTTCCTCCTCAGCCAGAACGCTGAACATCATCTTCCTGGCGGCTTTGGCGGTGCAGTACAGAACCCAGGACGGTAAGGCCTGTAATGCAAATATTGACGAGACGTTGACCACTCTCCATCGCAGGCCGGCTCTGCATGGAAATACCTGCAGGATTCCTGCAGTCAGCGCCAGAGCTGAACTGACGTTGAAGGACAGATAGGAATTCACCATTCCAAGATCTGTGAAGTTCTCGAATCCGGAAATCTCACCCAAAGAGCCTGAGAGAGAGAGAGAGAGAGAGAGAGAGAGAGAGAGAGAGCAGAGAGCGGATAGAGAGGGATAATGGGAAATTTTGGACTTCTTCAACATACAAAATAAGCATTAACCAGTATCTCCACGAAACAAAGTCCCCCATTCAAGACTTACCAGCGTTGTTAATAAGGAGCACATGATCAATTTCATTTGCAGCCTCCTGCCTCGCTATCCTCACAGTTTCATTCACCCCTTCTCTGGTGTTCAGGTCGACGGCGATGCAGTGAACAATCAGCTGCTGTTTGTCATTGAAGCTGTGCAGCTCTTCCTTCAGCTCCTGCAGCAAAGTCCCAGAGCGAGCCACCAGCAGGAGGATGGAGCCAGGCTCCAGAAAGTGGGACACCTGGAAGAACACAAGACATGTCTTTTTCTTTCTTTCCTTCCCCCCTTCCTTCTTTCCACCCAGTAAAACACTTACTTCATGTGCCAGCGCCCTTCCAAACCCTTTAGAGGCTCCCGTGATGATACAGATCCCTCTTCCGAAAGTTGACATTTTGCTAACTTTTTGTGAAGGTTTAAAAAATAGTGATCGTCGCTGGGAAAAAATTTGAAGCGAAAGTGAAGTGCGAGAACAAGAGTGTCCTGCTTTTATCAGCTTGTGGTGAGGACACGAGCACCGAACTGCTTTTATAATCAGACGTGCAAGCAGAACTAATGTGTTTCATGTGTTATAGTTCAAAAAATGAAAAGAATGAATTATGACCATAAAGAGTGGAAATGAAATAACTGATATAACTTTATTGATAAAATATCTTTTTGACTAGAATTATATATATGAATCAAAATAAGCACTGCATAAATTGACACAATATTTTCAACATTTAAGATTCTGCAAAGGTAATTTCAATATAACGTCTCTGTATCGGTTTAAGCCCAAATTATACTCGCTGTTTTGAACTGGTCATCAGAGGCTCATTTGGGAATTCCACGTGCATCCAGTGCTATAGACTAAATGTTTGTCATGCAACAGTGGTGGAAATCTGACAGACCTGTCTTTGTTTTGTTTTTTTATATAAGAAACTTCAAATCTTTGCAAAGCGGTCAATACAGAGACAGAGTCACCAATAGTCTGCAAGAGATTGACAAAGGCTCTCTCTGTGAAAAGTTTTCTTTATGCTCTTGATGTTATCTGGTGGGAAGGAGACGAAAACAAGATGTCCTAAGCATTGATAAGGTCTGGCCCGATAACAATGATTTAATGATTGTTTTGCACTTACAAGTAGTTAACCAACTTTGTGACAGTATCCTGCAGTTTCTCACGATTAAGTAAGCAGAAAGAGAAGAACACAACATTTTCAATTGTAGGGCAGTGCATGAATCTCTATGATGTGGAAAATATACAGAAATCTAAAAATATAAATGTACTTAAGAACAAAAGACTGCTCAGAAAATGTACAGCTAAAAATAAAATAAATGAAATTTATTCAGATTTATGGCAGTAGCAGACAGATGGAAAGAGAATGAACATGGGGATGAAGAATCGAGATAGCCTGTACTGTTCTGCTCTATATGTTATTCTGTGTTATTCTGATCAGTTATGCTTGATTCAACTTTTCATTCAAGTTGATTAGCCTGATTTTACAGAAATGAATGACACCATTGCATATATCCAGTATTAGTTTCTGCCAGGACAGCATGACATCTAGATAATCTCTTGAGTGAACTACTTTTCACTGTCAGGCTGATTTTGACTCAAACAATACTCCTCTGATTGATACATTCAATTTAAACAGCTGGTGGCAGAGAAAATGACCCATGAATTGCATGCTGATTCTACTCTGTGGATAAAAGAAGTGTTCAAATAATGTGACATTATCAGTGATGTTTAGACCGGTGTTAGACGACAAGCATTGCAATACGTACATTTTTTAAATATTATTCCAAGATCATAAATCGATGAAAATAAACAAATAAAGACCACAGAGATATCATGTGAGTCTAGTGATACTATTCTCCACAGTCCTAAGGCACATCAAATCAAATGACCCAGGATTTGTGTCATGGATTCAACCACGTGCACTACAGGGTCTTGTGGGAGACTTTTTTGGGAGTCTTGGTGTGTTGGTTTTTAAATAAAAGTTTCGTAAACCAAACTGAGAAGCCTCAGCAGAATTTTGCAATATAGGTATGACATAAAAACTATAATTTCAAGACTTCAAAAACATGAACTTGTGTGTTTGTAGCAGACAATTTCAAATAAGAACCACTTTCCACTCTACAGGAATCCCTTGTGTGTTCTCATTTTGGTGTGAACAATGTTGCTTTGATTCTACCTTTTATCAACTAAAAGCATCTTTTTACTTCACTGTTTCATTCTTGGTTCACAAAATGTTTGGAAAATTGATGTTACAAAGGCCATTCATGTCTGAATCTGTCTTCTCTTATGTTAGCATTAAATGAGAGAACATGTGACAGTGCTAGAATGCATCATAGGGAAGAAACCATAAACAGTCTATAGAAGAAACGTTGGGGGATTATAGCGCCTCCTAGTTGCCAAAGGGAGTCAGAGGATTTTAGAGAAGGAAGAGTCTTTCCCCTCTGCAGGGTGCCAGCAGTGGGACACTGCTGCTCTCTCATGGACAAACCTTACAGCTGCAGTGTAGTGTGTGTTTCCCAGTCACCTATTTCTACTTCTCTGAGTTCTTTAATTTATCTCCGTTATAGAGGGAGGGTGTTTGTTGGTTTATAAAGCGTTGTTTACTAGTTTTGTTCTTGTTCTTAAACGCTTTTGCTTTTTTAGTCGCTTTTTCTTTTTCAAGGTGTAGATGTTAGTTTTGTTTGTTTCACATTTGAGTTACAATTTGTTTAAATAAAAAATGATGCTGGAAAAGTTCCATTTCTTCAGACTCTTTCATTTCACCCCTGGTTGAATTACTTTGCTACTCCCTTCATCTCCTAGTTTTTCCTTGGGGACGTAACAAAGGACAAAAAATGGGCCTTCTCTTCAGAGATTTGAAAATCTAACAATTAATTTACAACACTGGCTGGAAAATGATTTGATAATTTAAATGAATCAGTATATTTATACAGTAAGACCCTATCATATCCTTCACTTATATAGAAAGCTGGGTTTGGGAGAAACTAAATTCATCATATTAGGATCACAAAGAAAAACCAAAAAGGATTCTCCAGAAATGTTATCAGTGAAAATCAGATTTAGACCTGATTAACTTTTCACCTGCGTCTGTTTGTTTGTTAGCAGGATTATGTCAAAGTTTCCTGGACCGATTTCCACCAAACCTGGTGGACGGATCAGGGCCGGGGAAGAACACATTATCATTATGTTCATCAGAATCAGAAATACTTTATTGATCCCAGGGGGAAATTGTGTTTGTCACAATTGCAAGAATTTATCTGATAATGCCTAGATCGTCCATCCATCCATCCATGAGAATTAAATCATTCAGGTTACTTAGTTATTAAAAAGCAAGTATTCATCTGATAGATCATCCATCCATCATTCCAGAGGGACTGTACTTGACTCTCCAGGCTTTTCTCGAGGGGGAGCGCTGGATGGATGCCAGAAGGGGGCGTTTGCATCATGCAGCCGGAGGGGGCGGGACCAGAGGTGGGTGTGTGTCTCTCAGCTGATGCGCGTACCCACCGACCGACTCCATCATCAGCATCCGACGGTGACAGCGGCCGAAGACACAGCATCCCTCCACCCCCCACCCCCCCCACCCTCCGAACCCCTCTGTGATATTACCGAGCATCGCAGGGAGAAATCAGACCGACCGCGACCGACGCTGGCGCCGTGTGACAGTGTTGTGTAGCGACGCTGCCATCTTCCCACCGCAGACTCAGGAGCCTTTGATGATGGATCGCCAGGATGCTACAATCGGTAAATCAAAGGCACCGCATGATTCGCCGTCAATGTCAGCGACGCTGTGCGTTCTGATCCAGATGTGTTTGCTTCACACGCAGCCAGGGCCCCGCGTTATTCCCTCCTGTGTGTTTGTGTGAGTGTGTGTGTGTGTGTGGGTGCTCTCTTGTCTCAGGCCTAGTATAGCGAGTAATTGTTTGGGAGCGCAGTGGATGGAGGGCTGGATGCGGATGCTGCTAAAGCCGCCCTTATACCGCCCAGGGATGCAGAGAGAGAGAGAGAGAGAGAGAGAGAGAGGGAGAGAGAGAGAGCGAGAGAGAGAGTCGTGAGGGGAGGAAAAAGAGGCAGAGCAGGAGATAGATGTACACAGTGTATTTTTACTACTACTACTATTCACCCAAGTGGAAGTAAAGCACTAGTAAATGGGCTGTATGAGGAGGGGATGTGCAATGGCATGACTGCTTATCTATCTATCTATCTATCTATCTGTCTGTATGTCTGTTCATCTATCTATCTATCTATCTGGGTGGTGTGTTACTGTAAGAGTTACTGTGTTAATTGAGTGTATGGTGGCTACATATGGCTACATATCCCCCTTCATACATAGCGTGTGTGTGTGTGTGTGTGTGTGTGTGTGTGTGTGTGTGTGTGTACTATGAGTTATTATTAGTTACAATATTTGGTGCTAATAATTAGGCATTAGGTAAGATTTTTGCTCCTGGATAAAGGTTGCAGAGAATGACAACACCTGGTAAACAGCGAAACATTTGACAAATCTGCTGTTGATCAATTATCTGTTATGCTTCCTCACTGTGTTTACACAATGCATAAGTAATGTATTGATGTATTGGGCCTTGCTATTTATGAAAATGATATTACAATATTAGTTTTTATGATTTTATTGCCCAGCCCTTATGGTTATACATTCTATTTTGGATGGTTGATTCAATTTTCTGGTCAATGTGGAAGCTGAGCTGCAGTTTTTGGCGATGTTGAATTGAAATGCATTACGTTATGCACAGAGGTGTTTATCTCAATGGTTTTGGACAGTTTTGCCTTTTTGACACAGGAGACAGTGGCAAGCTCTATCTCAGCTGTTAGTTACCTTGTGATTATTTTATTATACATTATATATGTGTGAATGAATATGCTCCAGGAAACAAAATCCACTGAGAGTATAATGAATAGTAAAGTTGTTCCTGTGGATTTTGATTCTGGGCCCCTCTGTTGAACAGGATCTCTAAATTTGTTAAAAATGTTTGGCAGCTAGCATTTTTGTTGTTATTGTTTTAAATCACCATAAAGTCACAATAACTTTCAACTTTTTCCAAACGCACCAGCACCACAAACTTCATTCTGCAAAATGACCATAAAGTTAAATCAACAAAACCCGACTAAAAAAAGAACATTACAACCTTCAAGACATGTTGCAGGGCTGTTGTATTATTTTGCATTTATTGCAGGTCTACCTGCAACTCAGAAGATGGACACATTAAAAGGGATATCTGTACACTGCAGCCTCATTCAATACATCAGCCCTGTGATGTACATGTTTTTCTTCTGGGTTAGTTGAAAATGGAAAATGTATGTATTTAAATATTAAATATTTGGAAAATTAGGCCACAGTTTATGGGATTTTTGTGTTGGATTGTAGTTTAATGCACTTTAATGTCATATATGCTATTACATCTATTTTATGAAGCAATCCCGTAGCTTTGTGTGTACCTTTCACTCAAATCGTATCACCTTAAACAACTCTTAAAACACACTTAACACTTGTGAATTCTCAAAAACAGCTTATACACCAGAAATGTAATGATATCATTACACAAAATATCATATGTATTACCTCCGTTCTGGGTCTGAGACGCAATATTTTTTCATTTTATCTGTGACTGAGGTTTACGCAGCAAGAACCCTTTCAAAACCTCAAATAAGTCAATTTAGAATTTAGAGTTTATTTCACAAAAGCATTACATGGCCTCTGAGGCCTAATTGACTCCCAACATATAATGTTTAATGTCAGGTCACATACCATGAGATATAATATGACTTTCATAAACAAGGTTGTCCAAACTTGATTGATCTGACCCTTTTCATCTGTATCATAGTGGGAGGACCACGCCACCCGTGTATGTGGCCTGGAGACTATTCTGCATTAGCTATTATTGTATAAATCAGTATTATGCAATTACAATATTGTATAACTCCTTTCGTTTTTCTGTGTTCCTCTAGTGTGTGTGCCCCCACTACCTGCATTAGGTTGTGATGACCCACACTACTTCCAAATGTATCTGTGACCCTCCCCAATCCTGACTCCTAACCTCTAATCCCTGACCTTTGACCCCCACTATGGGCAGTGTTGGCAGTGGGGTGGCAGGAGAGCAGGAGTTTGCCATGAAGTCTGTGGGCACGAGGACCACCCTGCCCCGTGCCCCTCCTCTCTCTCGCCGTTGCCCTGCCGACCGCAGCTGTAGTGCAGAGCGGCTGCCCCGCCCCCCAGCGACTATATCAGACGGGACGGCCTCTAGTGATGAACGAGGGAGTGTTAGTATCGGGACTGGGACCTGTACCGGGACTGACCGGCCCACCGAAACAGCCTCCTCCACCAACACTGAATGTACCATGGCGGCCCCGTCCAACAACAACCAGTTGGAGTGTGGCAATGGAGCAGGCCGGAGGGAGTGGGAGAGGGAAAGACAGCGTGAGAGGGGGAGAGACAGGGACCGAGACCGAGACTGGGACCGAGAGAGGTTAGAGAGGGAGCGAGAGAGGGAGAGGAACCGTGAGAGGGAGCGGGAACGAGTGGAGAGGGAGAGGCTGGAACGGGAAAGGGAACGGGAAAGAGAGAGAGCCAGAGAGAGGGAGAGAGAGAGAATTGAGAGGGAGAAGATAGAGAGGGAGCGAGAGCGAGAGAGGGACAGGGAGAGGGAGAGAGAGAGGGAGAGGCTGGAGAACGAGAGGATGGAGAGAGAGAGAGAGAGGGAAATGCAGGCTGCAGGTCTGGATGTTTGTGGGAACATCGTGGGTCGGGGAGCCAACGAGAAGAACGGCGTTGGCATGACCCAACACCAGCACAGAGAGATGGCCGCTGCCAGAGGCGACAGTGACAACAATCCAGCCGGCCATAACCCTCCGAACCACAACCCGCCCAAGATCATGCCAGTGTCAGGAAAACTGGAGCAGGTACTACAAGACATAGGAGTGTGGTTCACAACATGTAAATTCCTAAAAAAAAAGTTGGTTCAATTGAATCTAAAGGGGTCACAAGATGAAGTTTTAACACCTTAGGCCTTTAAAAATGATCAAATCTGAGAAAGGAAAATCATTCTAAAGTTGATCACTCATAGAACCTGTGACAAAGGGTCACAAGTAAAAACACTTGATGGCTTAGAATCTGTATTTACATTTGGGATCATTGAAAAGTAAGGTGAAGGTTTTTCAAGTCTAAATTCAGTGCTTACATAGATGTTGAGAGCGTTGTGATCTCTCCTCCTCTGCACACCTCTGGCTGTGAGGTGTTCCCTTCTCTGCACAATTCACATTAAAAATTCTGTCAAAAAATGCATTCAAATTCAGCCTAAGCTATTGTGAGGCTTCAGCAGCATGCTCAGAAAAACCAAACAGGCACCTTCTTTTTTTTTATCCAAAATGTTATGTTAAGTGACTGAATTAACCAAGTTATGTTGGTATCCTCTAAAATTACAGTCTTTTGCATAAATCTCTTACTTGTCTCGAACAGTATTTCCTTGCTGAGCTATGCTGGAGGGCCAGTGAAGACTGCTTGAAGTTACATATGAGCTTTGGCTGAACTTACAAACGTATTTCCAACCTCAAGGCCACTATGAATAGAAGGAATTAACATACCCACTCATAATAGATCATAGACAAAATCATTTTGTATTAAAACAAATTTAAAATACGTAAATAAATAAAAATCATCCTCAAAATATAACATATCGCACATCGTGCATTTGAAGCAGTTTGGGGGAAAAAAATCAAAAAATGCATGTCCTATAATTGTAGTGTTATGTTTAACACATCACAATGTAGAATTTTCCCACAGAAACTTTTATTACATTGTATTATCTCTCACTGTCTTTCCTTCCTTCCGTCCTCTATCTGTTTGGCAGGCAATGCAGAACAACTCAGGCCTTGTCCGTCCCTCTGCTTTCAAGCCGGTGGTTCCCAAGAGCTTCCACTCCATGCAGAACCTGGTGGGCCAGGCAGGAGGGGCTGGGAGCGAGGGCAAGACTGAGGCGAGGAGTGAAGGGTTCAGTGAGAGCAGAGGAGGCAGGAGAGGCAGGGACGGAGGAGGTGAATCAGGAGAGGTCCCAGAGGCCCTGCTCCTGGACCAGGACAGCCCAGTGAGGGTGAGCAGAAGTGAGGGTGGGGGAAATGGTAATGAAGTGGTTCAGGGAGGGATGTCTGATTCAGGTAGAAACTCCCTGACCAGCCTGCCCACCTACACGGGCTCGGGGTCTGGTTGTGGGCCCCCAGCAGTCCTGGGGCCTCTCAGTGCTTCCACCAGCCACATCAATAGGTTGGGCATGGCTGGGGCAGCTGCAGGCCTGGACAAGCTTGAAAAGCCTGGCTATCAGGTACGGCCATCATCCATACTGGCTTAGTGTAGCGCTTAGTGCACATTGCTGTTCCCATCTGTAACGTATCGGGATGTGGTTCCCTCCCCCAGAACGGACTCAGTGCCTCAGACAGCGGCCGATCGTCCTCTGGAAAGAGCTCCTCGTCCTATCAGAGGCTGAGCCACCTGAGTGATGCCCCGGCACCTCTACGCCCCTCCCCCTCCTCTGACGACATCATCCAGGACCTCGAAGACCGCCTGTGGGAGAAAGAGCAAGAGGTCAGGGACAATGAGAAAAGTCTGTTTTGCTTTAGTGTTACACTATGAGGGAAACCCTATGCTCACCACAAAAGTCCAATTACCAACAGCCCCACATTTTGTCTTTCGAGTTGGATTCTGTTCTACTTTTCCTATTTGAATGTCTTATTTTCTTATTTTCTACCAGGTGCAGCACATGCGCAGAAACCTTGACCAAAGTGAGGCCGCCATCATTCAGGTGTTTGAGGAGAAGCAGCGTGTCTGGGAGCGACAGATGGATGAGCTCAGACAGAACTACGCTTCACGCCTGCAGCAGGTGACCTCACTAAGTACTATAAATACAAAAATACAACAAAACATAATTTGATTTTGAGTCCAAATGCAACCCATGTGCAGAATCGGGTCAGAATCTAAAAAGATGATGGCCAACAATTTCGGATAGACAGATATGGAGGAAAATAAAGCTGAATATTGGTGCATATTCTAATTTCATTCTTACAATCCAGTTCAAAAGTCAAACAAATCAAAAAAAAATATTATTCTGCTGTGAGGGAGACATTCAAGCATTCAACAAACCAATTAAAAATGTTTTATTTTAATATTAATTACTGTTGTAATTACTCTTTGGTATTTTAATTTGTATTTAGCTATTTACTGGCATGTATGGAATGATCCACTCATCATTTTGAAAATGTTCATCCTTTAAGTCCTTTTGTCTCTTCTGGGTCCAAATAATATGAAAAAAACCAGTGGACCACTTTAGTATTTATCTAAGGTAGTCTAATAAGATTAACCATATTTCTGAAATTTTACTACACCAAAATGATTCAACATGAGGATGTAAAAAGGCAGTGTAGACAAGCAAAATATGGACAGTAACAGAGAGGTTTTGTGCGTAAGAAAGAATTAAAACTGCTTCAAAAAGACATTTACCTTTTTTGTCATTTCTTTTTTTGTATGTATTTCTTTGGATGAGGTCATGTCTTGCTACATGGTTGATTTAATCTGGTTTTGAATGGTTGATGCATTTTTATAAAATCCTGAATATTCAATACTTTTCAATACTTTGGCTTTAGAATCAAATGTCATAGCTTTACATAACTTCCACATACAGATGGATAGTATGTGTATTTTTGCAGGTGACACGACGTGCTCAGCGCTCCCAGACTGCCCTGCAGGCCCAGATAAGCCGTCTGTCCCAGGACAAGAGGAGGCTCCAGGAGGAGATGGCGGCTCTGTTAGCCCAGAGAGAGGACCTGGAGAGGAAGTGTCTGGATTACAGGAAGGAGCAGGCCGACATCTTGCCTCGTCTGGAGGAGACTAAGTGGGAGGTGAGATGAGTGACTGGTTCTGTAAAAATATTATCAGGGTTACTTCCCGGTAGACTGGAAAGAGGGGCGCTTAGTACAAGGGTGTGTGTGAACCTAAGTATGTGTGTACAAGCAACCCACATGAGATATGTGTATATTTACAACATACTAAAATAAAATACACTGACCAATGCACTCATTCCTCAGGTGTGTCAGAAGGCCGGAGAGATCTCGCTGCTGAAACAGCAGCTGAGGGAGAGTCAGGCTGAAGTGACCCAGCGAGCTGGAGAGATGGTGGCTCTGAGGGGGCAGCTGAAGGAGCTCAATGCCCAGCTGAGGGAGCGGGAGGAGGCCATGCTGGGCCTGAAGGACTCCTACAGCAACAAGAGTCTGGAGCTGGAGAAGTGTGAGGTGGAGCTGAGGAGGACTCTGTCAGAGGTACGTGCAATTAATACTCACAGCTCTGGGACTTTGACACTGGAATTACACAGAAACAAAGACAGATGAAAAACTTACAGGAGTTAATAATCCACCAAAACAGCCTCAACACAATAAACATCACTTAGTGTTATTCAGGCTCTCCAAGTTACTGTAAGATTTAAGATATAACCAATAGGTTTCTAGTTTTCAGGCATGTGTTTCTTGAGTTTGCCTTTCACATATGAACAAAAGGGAAAATGTCTGAAAATTAGAGAACAATTCAAGGTCTATGTTGAAAATCTTGTGTAACTGCATGGATTGGTGGACTCTATCAAAGGGTCTGCAAAAAGACCAATACAATGTTGTTTTCAATCCAAAGTGGTCAAATATAATTTGCAGCAAGGGAGATTGCAGGATTCAGATCCTCACCACTTAATCTAGAGAGTTGATCATTTAATCCTGGAAATCCTTTGAAAGGATTCTAAAAACGTGGTGAGGACACTGGAACAAATTGGGAATTGGGGAACATTACATTTTACAGCTGCAACTGTTTTTTTTTCTTCTTTTTACTGGAAGAGCTCATAAGCAGCTTGGCCATTTCATTACTAAAGAGTTTAAGACCACCATTTGTCCTTCCATCTGTCCGTCCGTCCAACAACCCCTAATCCCATTGACTTTAAGTCTTGTGATAGTATCACTAAGTGTTGATAGTGTATTGCTGAGGATTCAAAGAAGTACATTGTGGACTGTTAAGGTTTTAGTGGATGTGTACATCTTGAGAGAATTAACAGAGATTCCTCCATTTATTTTAAATTGTCAACTTGCATTTTTCTTTTGAATTGAGACATGAAATCATAGCACACATAGAGTGAGTCGTCATATACTACATTTAAAACCAAATGTGAGTTTATATGAGCTTCTTTTTAAGCTCTATAACCTGTACCTGTTCCTTTCTTCAGGTGTCCATCCTCAGAGAAAAGCTGGGTGTGTTTGAGGCCGAGGTGCTCAGTTTAAAGCGGGCTCTAAATGAAGTGAGCAGAGGAGCAGAAGTTGTAGTGAGCCCTAACCTCGCTGCTGCAGGACTTTTGCCACCATGGGGCATTGTCCACTGCCCACGTAACCCCACTGAGTCCTCGACCAATTCCCTTACCCCCACCTCTGACACCCTGCTGAGTCTTCAGAGTGATGAAGCCAAAGCCCAAAGGCAGGAGGCTCAAAGACAGGAGAGGCAGCAACGTGAAGAAGCTCAATGGCGAGATGTGCAGCAGCGGCAGGATGCCCACATGCAGCAGGACATGCAAATGCGTCAGGATGCCCAAAGTCGGCCTGAGGCTCAACTCCGCCAGGAGGCCCAACTTCGTCAGGAGGCTCACCTCCGCCATGAAGCTCAAATCCGTCAAGAGGCCCAAATACGCCAAGAAGTGCAGCTGCGTCAAGAGGCCCAGCTCCGTCAGGAGGTTCAACTGCGCCAGGAAGCCCAGCTCCGTCAGGAGGCCCAGTTACGCCATGAGGCCCAAATGCGTCAAGAGGCCCAGCTACGTCACGAGGCCCAACTCTGTCAGGAGGTGCAACTGCGTCAGGATGCCCACCAGCCACAGCGGGGCCAGGAGGGTCACTGGGATGAAGCAGGGGAGCTGCGCAGGCAGCTAGAGCAGCTGCAGGCTGCCCTACGTCTGGAGCGGCAGCAACGGGAACGTCAGGCCCTCAACTTTGACCAGGAGCGACACACTTGGCAGGACGAAAAGGAACGGGTTTTAAAATACCAGGCTCAGCTGCAGCTCAGCTATGTGGAAACGCTGCAGAAGAACCAGGCTTTGGAAAAACGTATGAGCCAGTTGGGAGCCAAACCAACCACAACCTCCACAACCACCACGATTACAACCACCACCACCACCTCCCCCACCTCCTCCAATTCTCCACCACCACCACAAGTTCTCTCACCCCTGTCTCCTCCGCCTATACCCTCTATTTCTGGCCCCATTGCCCTCACCCTCTCCCCACCCTGTGAAGACCAGAAGGGCCCTCCTTCTCTCCACCAGCTTGCCCCTCCCTGGGCAGGATCCTCCCGTCTGGAGAGGATAGAGTCCACTGAGATATAGAGGCAGCTCCGTGTAACGTTACACATTACCCAGTTTATTACACCCAGCGACAAGGCCTCTCACACGAAACCACTTCAGACAACAGTAGAAAATCAGTCTGCTACAGGAGAAATCAGTACAGTCTGGCATACTTTTCAATGCAACTGGACACTAAACAGCAACAAAGGATGAATGTAAAATCCAGCATTTTCAGTAACAAGCAAATCATCTAACCACGAAAATGAATTATATTCCATCTGTAAATGATTTTCAATTTTCCTAAACAGCCCTTTTCTCACCAGTTGTGCACAACTTCATCCTACAAAACCAGGGTACATGAAAAGTGTGCCATACTGATGGATGGCAGGAAGACAACAAGTTAAATGACAAATAGCACTAACACAGGGGGTCATCTAATGCCCAATGCTAGAAAAGGACCAAGACAATCAGGGATATTGTCAGAAATGATCAACAAGAATATTATGCGGTATTTATTCATTGTAAGTCTGTGTCACTGGTAATGTAAAAGTAGAATTATTGGTCAGAGTGTGTGATGTTAACTTTTGGCCAGAGAGCGCCTTACTACATTCTTTACAGCATGTAGAAGAGAATAAATAATGCTGGGAATAGATAAAAAGAAAAAATATCAAGAGTATGATTATTATTTTCAGTGCTTTAATGATATCAGCAAAACTAGTTACACATCATCACACGTGGCTGGACTATCTCATTCAAATCCCAGCAGACTTTGACATTTAAGGTCACACAGACTGATTCTCAATTCATTTTGAAGTCGTTTCATGCACAGGGTCCGACACGCACGACCCACTTAAACACATCATTAAGACCAACAGAGTTTATATTTTGTACAAATTGAATTAAATGGATATGTTTAGCAGATAATCAACCCCGAAAGAGAGCCGTGGTTCGCCTTCACCACATATTGTCTGCTGTGACTAAAAACAAACGCTGGAGGTCGCTCGTGAGCTGTTACGGTGCTCCCAACTGGATTGGACTGCAAAGGAGAATGTGAACAGAAGCACACAATTGGAATTTGATTATAATGATAATTGTGTCATTCACTTTGTGCATTCGCCGCCAAGAAATCTGAAGAAGCAGCAGTCAGTTTCCCCAAAGTTGAAAAATAAGTAACATTTTATAGAATGTATGATATACTAGAAAGAAATAATTATAATAGATATAGATTGTAAATGTATGTATGAGAGAGTGAATGTGTGCAAAGCAGGAGTGTGCATGTGTGTATACATATGAAATGCTTCAGCGTATGAGATTGAAGATAGAGGGACTAGTGGCAATACAGCGAGCGAAGATATATTAAGAGCAAAGGGATTTTCTCAAACTACAGGAAAATGTGCATCAGAGCTTGACATAAGAGCAGTGAGAGTCTGTATATCCTGGAAAAACGTGACTTTCTTCTGTATATTTCATTTTAAACAAAGCAGGTAAGAAGGAAGTTATTTTAAAAAATTTGAATCGTGGGGATCATTCAGGCTAACTGCACTATGTCGTGTCCTACACACAAGTGATGATGTACAGTAGACTCAGATGTGAATATCATGGCTTTTATATGTGTTGTTTATGCCAGCATACAAAGATGTTGCTCAAGAATATTAACTTATCTCTAAGGTATTACATAGTATTATCATCTTTATTACTGTTATTATATATGGTGAACTGACAGAGAAAATATGTGCCATTTGAGCTTTCCTTTATGTGTTTTTTTTATCTGTGTAGATAGCCTATTGGCCTATCATAATGGTGCAATCATAGCAACCCTGTCCAAAAAAAGAAAATGTTCCTTTTGATGTAGGTGATAAATGTAGTTACAGTAATGCATTGTTGAGAGAACAAAATGCTACCGAATTTATACATATTTCAAATTTATTGTTTGCATTTATGTTAGTTGTACTGTTCTGGCTTGATTAAAACCACCCCTTTGTTAAGATTCTGCAGAACTAATAAAGATATGTGAATAATTCAGCACTTGTCATCACACAAATGATTTCCTTCTATTGTATTCAAGACTGACACTGCAATTTGAAAGATTATGAGGGAATTTTCGGGAGGGAGCAAATATTTAGCAATTTAAACACTTGACTTTTATACACATTTAGATTCTTATGGGTTTGTAGAGTGCAGAATAGTTTGTATATGGAATAATTATAGTTACAAGGTGCTTTACATGTTATAAATTAGAAATTGAAGGCAAACAATAGGAAGCAGTTTAAAAAGGAATTTGAAGATCACACAGCAATAGATGACAGATGAAAATGTTACAAATGAGAAATGAGTACATTTATATATACATATATTACATCTCTCCAATAGATCCCTCTCACCTAAATCTCACACACCGAACTTTAGAATCTTAGAATACATCCGTGGACCAGATCTGGACGTGGTGTATTCGGGTCCCGCAGTAAAATCCAGTATAAGACTGTGTAACATGCTATGACAGGGAAACGGCTAATGAGATTAAACTGAAATCTCATTGAAATCTCTCCCATTTCCAATTTAACTTAAGTGATGGTACGCAGAAACATCTCAAGTGTCTTTACACAGGCGTGGACGCGCGTTACCCTCGTCGTGACCCTCTCACCGAACCCGTCTGTCCCGTGGGACCCGAACGCAGCAAGACGACGCCCCTCCTCTTTCCGCCCACGGAACGGAATCCCGTTGGTCAGCTCACCTGTCGATCAAACGCCTTGGCTCCCAGTTTTCCAGTAATCGCAGCCGGAGTGGGAGCAGCTCAGGAGACGGGAGAGCACACCGAGCTGTCCCGATGATTCACGGTTCATCTGAACGCGCTCAGTTACTGGATTTAAACCCCTCACACCACACAGGAGGACTCCCTGCTCCACCTGAGGTAATGCTGGCTTCATTTCTCAGCTCTTAACCTTTGTGAAGATAGTCTGGGGACGGCAGCTAAAGAAGCTAGCTGAGTTGTTTTTCATCTCCCAAACACCAGTGGCCTGTGTGTGTGTGTGTGTGTGTGTGTGTGGGTGGGTGGATGGGTGAGTGAGTGAGTGAGGGTGAGTGAGGGTGAGTGAGGTGCGGTACTGGCCTGTTAGTGAGATTGAAATACACATTATCAACATATCTACCTCTTATAAAGTGTCCCTCCATAAGAAGGAGTGACATAAAGCCTCCATTTCTCAGCTGTAGCCACCGTCTGCTGTTGTTTATGATGAGACTTGTAACGGTGCAACGTGCTGCTGCCCTGTGGCTAATGCTAATGTGTGATGATGCAGTTTGGGACGTTTGCTTTCCTAGTCCATGTTCTAGTGTGGAAGAGCAGAATCTGTATAAAATAGTTAATACACATCAACTTGTACTAGAAGTGACGGTGAGGAAACACTGATCTATTTATTTTTTACACCTTTATGATGTTTTTATTTTTTTATTATTATTTTCTCCTGGGAACCCCAAGGTGGGATATACAATGTGATCATGTGTATGTCGTCATCGTGGATTGAATAGGGTCAGATTAAATGGATTAGATATTTTTAATGAGCCCCCAAAATTATTATTATTATTATTTTTACTTAAAGGTCCAGTGTGTGAGATTTAGGTGAAAGGGAACTAGAATAATCCTCATGATGTTTTCACTAGTTCGTTTCATCTAAATTGTATGAATTGTAGTTTTCTTTACCTCAGAAAAGGCTCTTTATATTCAAATACTTTATATTTACATCGAGGGGACCCTCTCTATGGAGGCCGCCATGTTTTTTACATTAGTCCAGACTGAACAAACTAAACACCTTTTGAGTTTTTATGACAATTAAAGTCTACCACAGTTTCTTTTACATGTTTAGAAGGAGAGGGTGAGGTGAGGGGTGTTCAGCTGCAACATGTAATTTCAACACTAGATAGCACAAAATTCTACACACTGTACTTTTAAGTAAGTACCATACAGACATGAAGATAAAGGAGGTAAATAGATAAATTAGTTGAGCTCTGCTGTGCAAAATATACTTTAACTCAGAGGGCAATGCTTTTTGTGTGTGTTTGCCTGCATGGAGGGAGTTGGCATATTCCACCATGTTATCTTCTAACTCTGTGTATTAATATTTAGAATTTTCCCCTTCTATGTGCTACTAAATTACTGCTTGTTGTCTTTATTGTTCCTGGATCGATGTGTTCATTTTTACAATTTACGGTGAATATACTATTTGGGTTGATACTGGCGCTGATCTTTAGATTCAATTTCGTTTGGCAAACTTCAGAATTGCTAAATTTTGATTCAATTCTTGCTAATTTTCTTACAGTAAATACATTTCAGTGTTTCTAAAGGTGTTTCTCAGAAATTATTCTGGAAACTGGACCAATATAAAGTGCTTGCTTTTACATGGCAGGATACTACAATACAAAAAAAAAAAAAAGATGAGCTAAGTTTGTGTAATTCTCTAATGGATGGGGTTAAAATGGCATGTTTTTACTGCTCATTGTGTTTTACTGTCTTAAGCAAGTCATTTCAGAAGCAATCATATAAAAGCAAATATTACATTTTCCCTCTTTTACTCACTTCCTGTTGCCCCCGAGACTTACATTTACATTCATTAAGGATTACATGGACAAGGAAGGAAGGAAACGCTGTTTGGTTGTGATCCAAAAGCCACACACACTCACACACACACACACACACACACACACTCACTCAGACTCGCATAGAGAACTGAATGTCCTTTCTTCACTGAGGTCAGCCCACCGAAATTTGACACAGATACACTCATCTGTTGACACTCAGCTTTTTTACTTGTATTCTCTCACTAGCATCCGGTCTTCCTCTAGCCCCATCATAAGGTCAAACATAATTGGCAACAACTTTAGCTCATGTTTCAAAATGCCGCTGCTCTTACATAGTACACTAAAGTCACTGTGTCCTTATGTCTTTGGCCTTGGCGGTCATCATATGACAGCGTAATGACAGCTTGGTTGAGTGTGGGTGGAGTTTTCTCTGGATTTGGCTCCAGCTTCCAGCCCACACTTATTTGTTCTAAATGTGCTTGTTATAGTAAGATGTGCGGCATATGGATAAAGATAGAAATTCTTCGATTTTATCTGCTGCTGTTTGGAGCAAAATGAAGATCAAGAAACATCATTACAGCTAATGTGTAAAAGTTCTTATCACAACCTGATACTTCTTTAAGATTGTTGTTGTCTTTTCCATGAGTAGTTTTTTTTTCCCTCTCTCCACACAGTGGTAGTTACGTGGGAAACATCGTAATGTTGGTTTTGGCTCCAATTCATCTGTATTTTTGTCCTGGTTTTATTTCTAGCAGGGAAAACATTTTATTTTATACTTAAGGATGTGTTCAAGATTGAAGCTAGTGTTGAAACAGATGACAGATCAATAGCATATGGATTAGATCAGGTTTTAATACTAAACAATTGGTTGCTACAACTTAAAAATACCTGTGGGATCTGGAAACAGGTGATGGCCAGTTGTTATTATTTTAGACTGGATATGTAGCAATCATTAATCCAAAGCCACATTATTATTTGGCCTTTGTTGGCCCAGATACATGTACACCCACTCAAAGCAAACACACATAATTCAGCATAATGTCAGTACCTGTCCATATTTTCTAATCTGTACAATCCCAGAATTAATATACCTTAAATTCCACTATTTCAAAGTATTCCGAAACTTTTGGCTGTTTTTGTTGATCGTTCACACCGCTGCTCGGACATTAATCATGCATGCTAAGCACTTCCTTGTGTCAAACACAGGCACTGTTACGTCAATGATTGACATAGACGTTTAGATGTATTAAAAGCTCCTGGAAGGCTGTCTGGTCTTTGAAGCATTTCTTGGCATAAATAAAAAAAGATATATCTTTTATGAGCAGATAAGCAGAACCTAAATTCAATTTTTTTTTTCCTGCACTTGGAATTCAGTATTTTTTTTCTCCAGAGCCTAACTTGAAATGGATATGTTACGTATTGACTGAGTGTGATCTAGTTTTTTCCGATCCAGCTAAGGTTTAGACACACAGAACCCCAGAAGTAGGTCTGTTTAATAAGGACCTAGTACTTAGGGCGTCATTGGTTTCATGTTAATTGGGGACAAATGAGGTCTTTGAGTGAATTTGGATTCTAAGAAATGACTGCACCACATGCTGCTCACTCACTCCAAAAGGCCGTCTTTCACAGCTCAATTGTCAAACAGAAAGAGTTGCAAAGTCCAGTGTGGAGGGAGCAGGCAACCTCAAAATTTTTAGGTGAATCTGTTCTGTCTGAAAATAGGGCTTGTGCAGGCATACATATGAGGTTTTTAAGTAACAGCAACACAGTTGGGATTTCTGTAGTATTGTGGTCACATTCATCACTGCTGCAAGGACAAGGACCAGAGCCCAGGAAAGAGGTATTGATTTGTGTGCTGGTGTGTATTCGTATAGCTATCAGTTTCTTGGTGAGATTTCCCAGAATCAAGAGCTGTTTTTTTCTATCTTCCCATCAGTGCATTATGTGTGTTTTTTTTGTTTTTTTTCAGGGTTCGATGGTTGTAGTGCATATTAGAGATTGTAAAACATTCCAGGCTGTAGCTGCTCTTTTCATGTGGTGGACCAGCTTGGCCTTTAAAGGGCGTAGAAACAATTTTGGTGCAGGCACATAAGTTTGAGAAACATTGACTCTGCACAGCTGTATTTATGTTGAGCCATGCCTCTGAATTTCACTAGGAGGTGATGTCTTTAAGCCTGGAACACACTGGAACTTTAAAATCTTACCAAACGTCGAGAGACTGAGCAGCACAGATTTGCTTTAGCAAAGACATCGAGGGTTCAGATTGTCTCTTTAACTATGTGAAAACAAAGGAAGCAGTGTTTGTTTTTCTCTGTTTGTTTTTGGCTGCAGAATCTGGATGGAGGCTCTGTGGTATTGACATTTCATAAACAACAGCAGTGGGCCTTACACTATCATAAAAATGCCCAGTAAAAGTATTTTTTGTGCATTCAAAACAAACGTTCATCCATGTCGGCTACATGTCTGAGTATAAACGCTTAACCATGTGTGAAAGTACTTCAGGAGCCAGCGTCAAAGGCACAACTGGGATTTGAAATCCCTCTTTTACTCCTATTGCACAATCACCCAGAGGAAGGAAAATGTTTTCCAGATAAATGATTGTCAACTTGTTGTATAGAAACTCCTGCAGACAAGAATGCAAACAAGCGGTGTTATTCTTTCAATTCCTCTGTCATCATTCTATCTTTCACCAGTTTCGATAAAAATGAAAGTAACTGCTTGCTCAGAATGAAACATTTGGGAGGCAGCACAGGATAACATGCTCTGTCCTCCTTTGTGTTTGTTAGTGTGGCATCATGTTTACCGCCATGTTGGTACTTATAGCAACGGCTTTTATCCACTGCAGTGTGAAAAGTTAAAAAAAACTGTATGTCATCTACCATGTTGGTGTCAGAATTTGAGAGCAGGGTCATGTTTTATTTCTGTTTTTAGGATGAATAGATCAGGTCCTGGCAAACACTGATATCATAGAAACTCAAAGGGTGTTTAGTTTGTCCAATGTGGACGACAACAATCTGTAAAGTTTAGATGAAACACACTAGTGAAAACATCTGTAGGAGTATTTCATATTCAGTTTCTGTCAAAAGATCCCTTCCACCAAGTCTTACACAGTGAACCTTTAACCTCTCTGGTGTCTGTTTGTTTTATTTATCAGCGCACAGACACGGGTGTGAAATAACCCGTTGAGGCGTATACCTGTACATACCTGCTTGTTTTGTTGCATAAATGGGCTTGGCTCTATTTTAGAGCATTGTTTTATTAATGGTTTGAGGCCTGTCCCAGCCTGTCTCAAGGTAAACCAAACAAATTGCCCCGCAGCATCTCGGTGACAGTTGAACCCAGAAAAACAGAATAAACATGCAGGTTCATTCAGGCCAGGGCTCATTACAGGACTATTGCAACATGTTGTTTCTGGTTGTATCAAGGGCAACAATGTTGATCTTTCTCTTTATGTAGGAAAAAGAAGTTAATCACACAATGTACAGAGTGAACTGACCTGAACTTCCCCACATAGATGTTTTTACAGTTGACCTCCTTTTTTTCAGTGTGCAAGTCTGAAACACTTCATATCATATCATATTGATGTCAGTGCTATTACAACAGTGCTGCAGCATTACTAATGTGGTTCTGTTGAAACCTTTATTTAATGTAATTTAATGATAAGGTTAAACTGCCTAATAATCTCTATTAATCCTGTTGTCTGGAAAAATAAATAGAAAATTATGGAAATGTCTTTACATTGCTTCAGTTCCTACTGTCCAAATCCAAATTTTCAGTTTATGATAAGTCAAAGAAAACATGTAAATCCTCACAATTGACTACCTGGAAGAAATTAGCTTTAATCAAAACAGATTGAGAAACATGAATACACTGATTAATTGTTTCAGCTCTATTGGATTTGGTTAATTTATACATTCAACCTGTTTGCTGTAAAAGTTTAAGTGACATCGGTTTGATCAAGGAGCACAAAATGGAAAAGTTCACGTATGTGGTTGTAGTGGTACAGTCAGTGAGCAAGTTGCAGCAGTGCCTGGAAAGGAGAGGTGTTGACACTAGAAATGAATAAACTGTGACCCTGCAGTCTGCAGAAACCAGGTTTTGCTGGTGGTTGGAAAAAAAAATTCACCTTGGTTAAAAAAGTTCCTGTATAGTTGAACATGTTTGATCAGGTAATTCTTCAGTACTTCTTTAAAATGTGTGTTTGTGGCAGAGAGTATGTTAAGCATGAAGAAAAAATAAAAGCTCCTGTGTATCTTGATCTTTTTCTGTTGCAAGTTTTCGCTTGCTCAAAGATTTTGCATGAATGTGTACATTTTTTTCTGTATATAGCTAAAATAATACTGGAGCTGAAATGATACAGAACATAATGGTGAATGTAGGCAAGGCTTGTTTATATCGTCATCTCTTGCCTTGACGACTGCAGTGATTATTCTGACCGGCCTCCCTTCATGCAGAGAGAAACGCTTACAGATGCTCCAGTATGCTGCAGCGTGTCAGGTCTTCAACCAGGGCTCATGTAACTCTGCTGCAGGCCTGTTCGATTAATAGGTTTTAAATCGTAATCGCAATTATTTAGTTAGGACGATGTTAAAATCGTGAAAATCTAGGGTAATTACGGTACAGCCCCCGTTCATGTAGCTGGGCTGCGCTGTGTTGCCGTAATTACTTCAGCCTCCGTCCTGCAACACATTGTAAACAAACATGGCGGCGTTGGATTTTGTTGCCAAGAGGAAGAGCAAGTCCGTTGTATGGAAGTGGTACGGCTTCGACGCTTCGGATGAAGAGCAAAATACTCCGCATTGTAAAGTCTGTCTCAAGTCTGTGGCAGTTAAAAACCACAGCACGACTAACTTATTTCAACACCTCCAGAAAAACCACGTACCGGAATGGCAGCAGTGTGTTGCAAAGTGGGCCGCACAAGAGAACGTGGATGCGGCTACACCACCACCAACTCCGAAGCAAGTAACTCTGCCGGTTTCGTATTCACATGGTGTTCCATATGACAAGACCACAAGGAGGTGGAATAAATATTACAGATGCAGTCGCGTTTTTCATCAGGGATATATCATGCAAATAACTTATATGTTTGCAAGTGTTGATTTTTGTCTCAGGGATACAAATAATATTTTTTCAGGCTTTATTTATTTATTTTTATTTATTATAAGTTAAAGTTTAGCACTTTAATCATTCTTTTTTGTTTAATCAAGAGGCTGGAGAAATGTTAAGTTAAATGTGAAAGTGAGGTTTTTCCCTTAATCCCAAAGGGATTGTTCTTTTCTTGTTCACAAGAATATATCATGGAGCAAAGCCAGATGGCAAGACTTCATTGATTTTTCTTTATATTAATCCCTCAAGGGATTTTTTTCTTTAATAAAGAGCAAGGTTTGTACTTTCATCCCAATAGGGAAATTATTTGCAAAATGTTCAATAAAAAAATTGCATATTTGAAATAATTTCTTTGCCTTTTGTCATTTCACAAAAAAAATCGGATATCTGGTTTTGAGCAAAGAAAATCTGGATTTTTATTTTTGGGCAAAATCGAACAGCCCTACTCTGCTGATAATCAAACTTGGCTACCCATGGCCACCAGGAGAACATCTGGGTTTGTACCCATCTACTCCATCACAAGGGCTCAAGCTTCTTCACTCTGTTCCTCCGGGAAAATTGTCTGGTATTGCCATCCCTGCACACGAGGCAGTCACAGTCCAGACTGTTCTTGTTTTTGGTTCCACAATGGTGGAATAAGCTGACAGATGTTGCCAGAGCCAGGAACCTCCTTGAAGACTCATCTCTTCCGAGAACCTGTTTCACCTTAAAATGCCAAACTGCACTCATTCGTATTGCACATATTTAACAGATAGAAATTTAATTTTACTGTGCGTAGCAGAATATTATGTGAATTACGTTATTGTTTTGCATTATTTCAACTTAACCATGCCCCCATAGTATGAAGCAGCCATGTGTGTTGACATTCAGTGAGTTTTATTTGAACTGAATAGTTTTCCCACTTAGCTGACAAATATGTCTGTGTGATAGCAGATTTTTTTTAATCACTTCTGCTGTCTCTTCCCACAGGGCACCCTCTGTCCGTGTCTTGCCATTCGGGATGTCTAGTCTGCTGTTTCTGTAGTGGAGAAGACCACCACCTCAACGACTGCTAACAGTGGCTCGGCCAGTCGATCACCATGCCTCACTTAAGTGTCAGTCCCTACTCAAAGTCTAACTGTTGCCCTCTCTGGTTCATATGTGTTCTTCTGGGCCTCTCAGCTGTACACACTCATGCCAAAGATGGTAAGAACTGAACAAAGTTACCGGAATGTTCCTCCTTTGACATTCTGATAAAGCAATAATGTACAACGCTCAATGCACATGTTGTTAAAAGTGTTGAGTATTGATCCATTAGCAATTGCTAATGGAAAGGTTTGCTCTTTGGTTCTATGGGGCTGCTATTAAATCGATGACTACTTATTCAGAGTCAGCTTATTTAAAGTTACCTTGTGTACTTTGCCATTCAAATCACTTTACCCTGTTCTGATCTTTTGTTTTTATTTTCCAGTCCTCAGTGTACCCCAGCAGGTGAGCCTGTCGGCCAACATGTTCACGCAGCAGCTTTCCATATCGTGGCTGGGAGGAGCCGCCACAACGTTTGACCTCATGATCCTTAGAACTGAACTTAATCAAACTGTCTTCTACGTAAGAACATTTGTTTTTTGTTGAATTTGTTTTCTTGTTTTTCTTCTTATTATGTAACAAGTGACAGGATGTTTGAGACTGATACCAATATTGATATCTGCAAGTTTCAAAGATTGGATAGTGAAGTGTTGGCCAATATTTTTTTTATAAAAACTGCACTGAGTATGAACTGAGCAGGATATTTCCATTACTTTTGTCAGTACTCACTGGTGGTCATTTATCGGCTGACCCATATGCCATTATAATGAAAACTGCAATTAGCTAATATCGGTAAAATATTCTATGAAATATATGTTTGTAATTAATTTGTCTTTGCAGCACATTATGCTGTTTATTTGATTTCGCAATAAAACGTTGGTTATGCAGATGATAAAATAATCCAGAGGAGTTTGGTCCTTATCCTGGTTGAGCTCCTGTGTGACAGTCATCACCATCAGCAGGTTCCTTATGTTTCCCTCACTGTTTTCTCTTTGTGTTATTTGTAGGAGACACTGTCTGTGACAGTAAATCCGGTGAGTGGTCGACACCAGTGGAACTGGACCTCAGTTGAACCTCTGGAGTGTACCTCTCTGTCAATTAAAGTCCGCTCAAGAGATGGACACATGATAAGTGAATGGAGCAGCACTCATATACTTCAAGGTCAGAGGGATGATAAATGCATCCATGTATATTATAGGACACCAAGAATTAGATAAACATAAATACTGCTTTTTCTAAACTGTTAATTTGTGATAAACTGAAATCTAGTATTATTTAGCCAAACAAAATATATAAATCCTGCTCTCCACTTTTGGGCTTCTGCTTTTTTCTCCCTCTTACTCCTTTTCAGGAAAGGATATCCCCAGCATTGTCAAATCCGAGGTGTTTCCCGAGGATAGAATTGTACCTGTGGGGGCCATAACTACCTTCTGCTGCATTGTGGAGGAAGGGAAGGTCTTTGGTGCGATCAGCTACGGAGGTGCTGCGATGAATACGACTCGACTCAGCAGGCGGACTTACGCCACCACGCTGGTTAATCAAGGACCATCCGGCAGCTCGGGAACCAACGTTGTCTGTTCCGACAGCCTGAAGGTGTCATCTGGAGCCGTGGTGTTTGTTGGATGTAAGATAAATAAGAACTAATGAACTAGCACTAAGTGACTTGGTTAAGGATGCAACTTGCATCAGTTATACAGCCTGTGAATTTTTAATTATAGAATGAATTTGTTCGCTTGAAAAGACAGCTGGACAATTGGTCATAAGGAATAACTCCAGTCTGCATAATCTCCTCAATTTTCTTTTGCTGCTGCATGTTGACGAGTCTATTTAGAGCTTTTCTAAATAATCTTGGTAATTATTGAAATTTATGTTTTCTGTATGTATGCATATATGTGTATTTGAGCTTCTACTTGATGACCCTCTCCCCAGATCCACCTCTGCCCACTGATTTTGTGTGTGAAACTCACGACTTAACCTCAGCTGTATGCCATTGGACTGAAGCGCGAGACACACACCTCTATGGCAAACGGGGAACACGCTACTCGCTGAACCAGAGGTACCAGAGTCACACTTACAAGCACAATAAATTATAGTAGCTAAACTTCACCTCTCCTCAGCTCATGCATGTGTCCAGCAAATTGGCTTCAACCCGACCTGATAACTGATGCATTGAACCACAGTGCTGGGGTTGGTGTGCAGAGCTGTACACACTTTGTCACAAAAAAACAGGCCACAGATACTAAAATGAATGGAGTAGGACACATACTCAGCAATTGTAGACACATTTAAAGAAAACCCTGCTTAATCATACAATAGAAACTGTATCTGACTCAGATCCCAGAGGCTTTTAAATAGAAAAAAGCAAAATCTTTTGGAAACTTTCAATAGATATAGAATAGATAGTCACATAGGGGATGGCGATGGCAGTAATGGAGTGATGTTAACTTCATGAATTTACCGGGATGTAGTACAATGTCCCTTTTCTTTCAAGACAGATGTCTGCATTATTGATGATCATTCCCATGACTTTCTTCAAAATGTGCTTTCTGCCCAGAAAAAAATCTATCAAGAGCGAGAGGATGACAAGAAATATAAAGCACTTAGTCTAAGTAACCACTCGCTGCTTCTGCGTGTGGACTGATTGAGGATTGACTATCAGCCAGCGCTTTTACAGGAACTCTCTCAAGGCTGGCCAGAGAAGTTGTTGCATTATGAATGTGTTTGGGCCTGTGTCTGTACCATTAGGTTAGATGAGTATCTAAAGTGATTATCTTTTATGGTAATTTAATCTGGTTGTTTTTATTTCCTCATTCTTTCCTCAAATCTGTGGTTTATTCAATTATTTCTTTGATTTTGTTTTTTCAGGGGTTGTACTCAGGGAAGGCTGCAGCAGAAGCATAAAGTGTGTTCTGTGGCCAAGTGGGAGGATAACTGGACACTGGTAGCCGTGAATCCTCTCGGCGAGTACAGCCTCACTGACTCTGCTGAAATCAGTCACAGAGGTAGGTATATTAACTTCACCTTATCCAAACAAGTGGAACACAACACACCAAGAATAATTCATATGAGCTTGTTTTTATAGCAAATGTTCAAAGCAGGAATTAGCGTAGACATGAAATACACCCATAATAGTTCACTTATTATTGTTTAACTGTCTCTCCTCAGTGCATCCAATAGCACCAGTCAACATGAGCTCCGTTGTCAGTGCCTGGAATGCCACTGTACTGTGGCAGTGGAAGTACAGTAGCTATTCCTCCCTGGGTCTTGTCTGTCAGGTCGAGCTCACCTGCCATGGTTCCAAAAAAAATGTGAGCAGTTACTTATTTTACTACTGAGCTACTTTACCTTTTGTTTGAGTTACAGTCTCAATGTGCAGAACCCTCCTGCTGTTTGTGTGTCTATGTTAAAGCCATGAAACAGTATCCCTTCCATTCCTTCACCACATTTCCATTACAACACACTAATGGCCTACTACATTGTTACTTTCCTCAACATGTTCTCTCCATTTGTGGGACCATCAATTTACCAAACAATAATGAAGTCTGATGTTTGCTTGCAGCTTACTGTCTCTGGTGTAGGTCTGCAGTCTGTGGTTCTATCAGACCTTTATCCTGATAAAGAGTACAGTGTTCAAATCGGCTGTGGTGCCCAGCACAATTTCTGGAAGTGGGGAAACTGGAGCGAACCATTTACCTTCAAAACCAACACTTATGGTAACAGATTCACTCTTGCAATCTCTTAATTTTAGCTGAGATTTCAGTGGTTCAGAGCTGCAGCTAATATATAAAATATATATATAATATCTTCACTACATGGTGACATCATCTGAAAATAATTATTACTAATTGCTCTGAAGTATAACCAAATTGAACTTCCAAAATGTTAGCGTTTTTACTTTGAACCCATTGTGCATCTATATTTTTATACATAACAAGAGTTATTGCACAAAGTCCATTCACTATAAATTAAGACGCATTATTGCTCCCTTGATTGGGTACTTAATAAGTACAATCTTTGGATTGCCTTATATTTTATATTGTAGCACCAGCAGTAATGCTATTTTTTTCTTTGGAACTTTGACTAAATGTGATTTTCTCTTATCTCAGTTCCAGAGGCCCCTGATGTGTGGATATGGATGAACAGAGACAACACTGGGCTGATTGTTTGGAAGGTGATCTTTGTTTTTTGTGTCTCACTTATTGTGGAAAGCACCTGTTTACGACATGTTCAAATAAGCCACAATCTGGGTTCTACTACTTTAGTTTTAAAGGAAAGATTTCTTGCTCTCTTTTTGCTCTCTTTCTCCGATTTGAGTCAAAGGCACGGTGACTTCAATGTATGTCAGGAATTTCTGAAGTTTTGACAAAAAAAGAAAGCATGTTTAAAATTGTCTGTCTTTGTTGTCATCCTTTCTCCCTTTAATTTGGTTTATTCTAGCCTCTGACAAGAAGACAGAGCCACGGTCAGATCATAGGTTATGAAGTCACTCTCTGGAGCACTGAGGGAAATGTACAGCACACACAGATTTTTTCACCAGGAACTACGGCTGCACCAGTCAACTTCACACAGAATGCTGCCTTAAGTAGTGACAAGATCATTGCAACTATCATTGCAAAGAATGCTGCTGGGTCATCTCAACCTGCCAGTGTAGTCATACCCCTACGTTTGACAGGTATGTGGAAATGGAAGGAGAGTGTGTTTATATTAGAGCAAATAAAAAGGCAAAATGGTGAAACTGTATACGTATTTTTTTCTTTCCATATACAGAACCCCTTGCTGTGTCCAGGGCAGTTTACACAGAGAGAGGTTTCCCTCTGACCTGGCCGAGCGAGGCCAACGCCACATGTGGTTATGTAGTAGAATGGATAGATGCTGTCTGCTCGAGGGACTGCTCCGTGGAGTGGATCAAGGTGGCTGCTGGAAACACAAATGTTTCCATTGAGTCGGGTAAGCCATCCATAAAATCACCATATCCAAGTTTGTAAAAAAAGGGAATTGTTTGTAGCATATTCAAAACATCCTATATGTCACTGCAGTCAATTTCACTGTCTTTGTCACTCATCCATTTTTGGTTATTCCAAAAGTAAATAGGATTTAATCTGTCCACAAACTTACAAACCTAACAAATGTAACATAAATATAACTTTAAACTCTGCTGTCAAATATTAAATTATTCTGTAAAACTCTTTCTTTGCCACCAGCCAACTTCCAGCCAGGTGTGAGGTACAACTTTTCCCTGTACAGCTGCTCCTCTGAAGGCCAAGAGCTGCTTCAGCGCTGGCAAGGATATGTGCAGGAGCTGGGTAAGGACAGCGAAGCATTAGGAAAGCTGATACTTTCAGAATCAGTACAAGCAATGACTTACACTGACGTACACTGCATTTAATTAGCTGACTCTTTGTTCTGATAGTCTCTGGTATTCATCCCTCCCCTCTCCTTAAATTTTCTAAATTCCTTCCATCCCTTGCGACTACCATAGTCCCTTCCAGTTCTGTCCTTCTATCAACCAGTCAGCAGAACTCTGATGTTCTTCTCACCTGGGAAGAGATCCCACTGCTCAACAGAAGAGGTTTCATCCTGGGCTACAATGTTTACAACAGTACTGTCTCTCAATTAAAAATTCTAGGTAAATGTTACAATGCTGCTTTGTAAGTAGATCACCTGCAAAGGGAATTTGATTCAAAAAAATAATGACAATATACTAAAGATATTTTCAAAATGGCATTTGTTAATCTCATTCACTGTCCTCCTCATTCCTCCCTCTCCTGCTGTTTCTTTATTCCCGCCTGTGCCTCTCTCCTGTTGTTTCTCACTTCCTACAACAGTAACTCTGCCAGATAAAGGAAACAGGAGCTACACAGTAAAGGGGCTCTCTGAGGGCTCCCATAAATTTACTGTCAACGCCTACACCTCGGCCGGCGAAGGCACAGGCGCCACTGCCTCCATAACACTGGAACCATATGGTATGTGGATGTGTAATAATGTGTACAGCTACAACTTCAGACCTTAACAACATTTGTGTTTAATCCACAGTTATTATTTAAGGTTACAAAAGAAGAAAAATAATCATCTTTCTTTTCTCTGGTTTGACAGCTGATTGGCTGATCCTGGAAATCCTGACTTCTCTGGGAATCACAGCCCTATTCCTCGTCATTGTCACCTTCATTTGCTACAAGAAGAGAAAATGGTGAGACTTGTTTTTCTCCTCTGCTGTTTTTGATTGTCTTACATAATCAATGTTACATGTACACACAAAACATTTGTGAAGATTAATCTCTGCATTTCATCGAAGAGGAGCTACTAGAAAGTATGAATTGCTTAGGCTTTTGATGACAATGTGACATATTACTTTACTAACAGGGTGAAAAGGGCATTCTATCCAGACATACCTGAGCCCAAGCTGCCTGGTGATTGGTCCAGGACACCGGTACAGTATAGTTTAATATATTTCCCTAATTTTATGCCTCTGCGCCCGCAACAGCTGGTCACCAGAGGTATTATGTTTTTGGGTTGTTCTTTCCTATGAATGCAATATCTCAAGAACACCTTGAGGGAATTTCTTCACATGTGGCACAAACATTGACTTAGTGTGACCTGAATAAAATTTGGTGGTCAAATGTCAAGGTCACTGTGACCTCACAAAGCACTCTTTTGCCTTGTGAATGCTATATCCCCGGAAAGCCTCGAAGGAATTCTTTCACATTTGGTATAAACATTCTTTTGAACTTGGATTTCATTTTAGTAATCAAATGTCAAAGGCCAAGGTCACCGTGGCTTCTCTAAGTATGTTTATGTTTTTCTTTAATATAATATCTTAAGAACAGCTTGAGGGAAATTTGGTAGAAATGTTCACTTGGACATTAGATTTTGGTGCCCAAAGGTCAAGGTCACATCACATCCCTCCAATTGTTATTTCCATTTAAACTGACTGGATAGTGATTAATAACTTTGTATCTTACAGGGGCCATTGCACGTGAAGCCATCTTCCCATTGTATAATGCACATTGTAGAAAAGCCTGAGTGGGATTCTAGTAAGGAGGCACTCGTTGTCATTCCTGAAGAAGATGAGGATGAAGAAGGGCAGGGGATGGGAGAAGAGTCAGTTGACACAGATGAGCCAACTTCGTTACACTACTACAACCAAGTAGTAGATGAGAGGCCCATAAGACCACGTTTCCCAGACTCCTCTGATTCCTCTGCATCTTCTGTGGATTCAGCACGCACTGATGTGACGTACACAGGAATCCAGACTTCAGGGTCGTCACTGGTCTTCCAGCTGGATTCACAGGGCTCCTCTGAGGGCCACCAACCCCACGCTGATCTATCTGTCAGTGGTGAAGGTGGAGGGGGCTACCGGCCCCAGATGCAAGCTAGAGCCCCAAGTAACGACATTGCTCTGGCTTCTCCTGAGCCTTTCATAGAGGCCCAGGCTGCCAGTGGTGGGGGCTATAAACCCCAGAGCTCCTGGCATTTGGACTCCCCCGTGGAGGGCGATGAAAGTGGAGGCCGGGCACCCTCTCTCGGATCCCCCACCTCTGTTGCGTCCACCCAGTTTCTCCTCCCTGATGGAGAAGAACACAAAGAGGAGAGGCGACAGCCATCATCGTCAGCAACAACCTGGTTCACCAATCTGCTGTCATCCGCAAAACCATTATAATCTCTGTGTCACTGCTAGAGATTCATTACTTTTACCAGTGTCATGCATCAAACAAGTTTACCCCAAATGGTCTTGGTAAATATTCCCTCTGATGTAGCACTACATCCTTACGTTTGCATTACGACAGCAGGTTAATGATCGTATTCAAGGTGTCTATTTCCACACATACAGAAATACACATATATTGTTAAATATCATGAATCAAAAACTGTATATTTATACACCAAAACATTTCTATTCTGACAAAGATTCTTTTCAGCATATTTCTTCAGACCTCTTTTCTTCCATTATTATTACTCCCTCTGGTAACCTGTTTGGTGGCTGTTAGGATAAATCCCCTCACTGCCTTTTCTGTGACTCCCTATAATGGGCATTTAGCGACGGCATAGCCAATGTTTCAGTTGATCCTGTCCAGTTTTTAGCTGACACTTCACATGTTTTTAGTTTACGTGATGTGAACTTTACTGCACTACAGAAGAAACTGAAAACAAGAACGCTATCCAGTAAGACTGTAGGACATTTTTAAGAGAACACTACAGATGAGTGTTTAAATAGAAGGTAGCTGAGAAGACAGAAATCCTCCCTCTCTCCACTATTTCCCCGTCTTGTGCTGGTCTGTAGTTTGGGGTAATCCTGCCTCCTGACCACTGACGAGCTACTGAAAGAAAGAAAAAACGTAAATGTTAATTGAAAACACTCATTATTTTACACAGATACTGGAGTGGTGCTTTCTTTTGTAGTCTGGAATTGTGTGGGCGATGAGCCCAATACACTGATATAAGCTAGAAAATGAATGCAAACTGATGTAATTTTATGAATGAACACTATTCTGTTATGTTTGCATGTTATTGTTGTGATGTCTTCCTTAACCAGTAGAGTTTTATTTTTTTAATTGTCAAGACATGCAGTTCATTTTACGGTCGGGCCAGTGACTTTTTTTTTTATTATGTGTCGTGAATCATCATCAAGTTGATGATTGAACAAATTATGAGTTAACTTGGATGGGTAATTACATTGTTTAAATCCTCTTTCACATGCTGCCTGAATGTTGTGCATAATGAACCAGAATGTGACTAGGTAGAGCGTGTACCTCTGCTGAGGCCCAACATTCTTCTTATGAAACCACATTTCAATTCACTAGATCTGCTTCGTTTAAGAAAGTAAAAAAAACTTCCTGAATCCTCTCCCCGATTCAGATCCTCACCAACATTTAATGAGTTCTTCCTTGGGTCCTGCCCCACATAATTTCAGAGAAATCAAACAAATGCAGATGACAACATAAGCTCATTTGCAAAAGTAATTTTTATAACAATGCAGTTTACAACTGAAAATAAATGCAGTGCTTAAAGCACACAGGCATGGAGTGTAATGTACAAAAAGTGTATGTTTAATCTTGATACTTTTCTTTAGTTGCATTATTTTTAAACCCAGAGAGAAGGTGGATTTGCTGTGCTTAGAAGCTTGTTTAATTCTCACTAGAGACTACTTTAAAAGTTTTTCTTTTAATTGCAAAGTTTTCTTGAAGGCACCATGTAATATGTTGTGATTGGAGAAAGGGACCAAGGGGAGAGCTTGAATCTATAATTTTAGCTCTTGTTGACAAAATGTGGGGAAAAGACTGTGACTATTGGTTGCTTGGAAGAACTTACATCTCTGTAATGGTGTCATAGCCCAAGTACACTTCACATACTCCATGAGCTCTCCACTTGTGTATACACAGTATGGGTGTAACGGATGCATTACTGGCTAGGCCTCCCAAGAGTATCATTATGCAAGTATTATCCTTTGACATTGAAGTCAAATGGTGACAGGATGGTTTTCAGTTAGACCCTAGTTTGTCTGTGTGGCAACCTGTGGTCTATTGTTTCTCAGTGCCTCCAGCCAACAAGCTTTAAGCAAAACTACTGTGACATGACTGATGAGTTAGATTAATGTGGGTGGCTTCACGGAATCACTCATTACAGGCAGGCAGTCCTCTTTGACTACTGAGAAAAATATATCTCCTCTTTCTCCTTATCTCGTAACACTGATCTGAAGTATAACTTTTAAATTTATCTTTAATTGTGTGAGATCAGATCAGTAACGATCACTTCCAGACAGTGGCATAGGGTGGATAAAGTTTTGAGTATTTAAAGGTTCAGTGTGTATCTAGAGGTGAAGTTGCATCTGATTACTCTGCATCTCACCCTCACCAGTGGTGAACTTCATTTGTCATAAAAACTCAAAATGATTTAGTTTATCCAGTTTGGACCACAGTAAAAAAAAAAACAACATGGCAGCCTCCACAGAGAGCACCCCTCTCCATAGTTTTCAGATATAAAGGGCCAATTCTTTGGTAAAGAAAACAACAATACATACAATTTAGATGAAACACACCAGTGAAAACATCACTAGGATTATTTTATATTCAATTTCTGTCAAAAATTCCTTTCACCTAAATCTTACACACTGGACCTTTAAACATGGTTGCAAATTGTTTTCCTTTAAAGCCTGCTTTCTCAGCCCGGCAGCGCTTTGGAGTCTAACCTATGAACGCTATGTGTTACATGCTTTTATGTTGATTTGGATCAACAAAATGGCCTCTTGATTTTTCTCTAAATCTTTGTTTTTGTACAACTAACTGTATATTATAATGTTTATTCCATTTGCTTCCTTCTAACAAGACAAAAATGCATATGATGTTTTACATTGGAAATGATATACTCTATATTGCAACATGCAGAGTTAATGTTGACAAAGATTTGTGTTGAGGACACCTGATATATTAAGTCCTATGAAAGGTAGAGCATCACACTCACACTGTATCTTTGTTGTGTGTCAACCCATGAAAAGCTTTTAAGGTGTGTTTGAAAAAACATGTAAATGAATTAGAATTGTGATCCTGTCCTAATACCTAGTTTAGCCTGCTTTGCATTACTATCTTATCACAGCAGTGTAGCTTTGCCGAATTGTAAGTAGGGCCAGAATACTAACCATGCAGACTCATACATGGCAACTGCTGACATGCAATTTTCCATTCAGTCCATTATCTTTTCCAAATATCCATTCACACGTTTAATTGGAGACTGTGTTTGGGGATTTTGCAGGATTACAGCCGGGTACACTTGCTGCCTTACACATCTTCATCTCTGGCCCTAGATGGTTTGCTGAATCAATGCATGTTGTATACACTGTTCGTAAACACACAGCTCCAAGTTTACGTTTCCCTATAGCTTTAAAACACTAACTAAGATGTGCATGGCAATATGACTGAAGTATCATGCACCTGAACATGCTTTAAAATTCATGATGTTTTGCAAAAATATTTTTAATATTAATTGAATGAAAAGACAAAGTGAAGCTCTACATGAATGAATAAATGTTAACACTAATAACACAAAGTGAAATGCTACTTGTTTAATGGCAATAAAGTTATTTGTCTGGCTGCTTTGTGTGAGTGGTTCATTTGTCTGATAGCAACTCCACAGACATGTTATTGTCCCTGGTGATAGAGACTTCAACATATTTCTTCAGACCTCTTTTCTTCTATTTTTAATGCTCCTGCTGGTGACCTGGTTTGGCTCTTACAATATATCCCCTCACTGCCTTTTCTGTTACTCCCTGTAATGTGCATTTAGCCACGGCATATCCAATGTCTCAATTCACTCTGTCCATTTTTTTTCGGTTTTTAGTTTCTGTGATGTCAACTTTACTACACTACAGAAGAAACTTAAAACAAGAGCGCTATCCAAAGGATATTGAATGAAAAGATACAGTGAAGTTCTAAGTGAATGAAGAAATGCTAACACATAACACAAAGTGAAATGCTACTAGTTTAATGACAATGAAGTTAGTTATTTGTCTGGCCGCTTTGTATGCTCTCTTTTCCCTGGTTATAGAGACAATAATAATTCTGGTGATAATTATATTTTTGATATATGTTTATCACTTCTGTAATGTTTCAAACTAACGGCCTGAGGATTTATTTGGTGATGACACAACTTGAGATTTTCTTTTTATTCGCATGAAGACCAATAAGAAATAGTTACTGATTAAAGTGGCTGGTTTAACTTTCATTAATTATCCCTCAATGTTAAGAAGGCATCTTTTCTTTTCTAGGATCTGGCCCCGCCCACTCTCCTGTGTGCCCCCCTTAAACACGCCGGGCAACCCCGTTGACATGTCGCCACGGCAACGACGCGCCGCTGGCACTTTCTGTTTATTAGCAGTTAGCGAGCTAAAGAGCCAAAGAGTTAGCGAGTGACATGCTCACTGTCTGACTGTGTTTGCGACCTGAGCCGAGACTCTAAGGGGACAACATGTCGGACATATTGTGCCGGTGGCTCAACCAGGAGCTGCGACTGTCAAAAGCTGTCGGTAAGCGTGACTGCAGTTCCTGCCCACGGAGCTAACTGCTAGCTGAAGGATAACTCGGGGGTCGAGCCTTTGAAAACGGTCGCTACATTAGTGCGGCCACTAAGCGAACTGTGTATGTAAGAGCAACTTTAGATAAACTAACTACGATTTGTCAACCAAAGTGAAGCATATTCATTGTGTAGGAGATGTTAGTACCGTATTTTAAACCAAATGGTCCAAAAGTTTATTCATTTATTTATTTACCATTGCACCAAACATGGTAGAGGTATAGGTGTGGGCGTTTGGGTATTTCTGAGAAAATAACACAGTTCTTGATGTAGAATAAATAAATAAATAGAATCAGATGTATTAAGTTTGTTTTTCGTGTTGGCAGAAGTACGAGTATCGAGTGCCATTCTACTTTTAAATACATTTGATATTCTATTTCAAAATACTAGTGTAGGATTTGGGGGAGTTTTGGCAGGAATGAAGTATAACATCATTAATCCTGTTTTCAGTTGTGTACAATCACTTAAAACTAGTGCTCGTTGTCTCGATACTGAGTGTAGAATGAGCCCTTAAAATCTATGTTAGAATCGGGTCATCTTCCACACCATGTTGCACTTTTCTACAGGGCCTTTCGTCTGTCATGTTTCCTGAAGGCTAGTGAAGAAGACTGGCATCATTGTCACTATATGCGTAAATTGTTGCATGTCCATCTCCACAGAGCCACAGAGTTTTGCCAAGGATTTTTCTACTGGTTACTTGATTGGGGAGGTTCTGCATAAATATCAGTTGCAGAGTGATTTCACTATGTTTATGAGGAAAGAGTAAGTTGACCTCTATCTTTCTGTCTCCTTTCTATGCTTTTTGTCTGAAAAATAGCTGACTGCAGGTTCAGTGTGTAGAATTTAGTGATAGTGGTTGAGTTGCATGTTGCAGCTGAATACCCCTCACCTCACCCTTCCCTTCCAAACATGAAAGAGAACCTGTGGTAGCCTTCAGTTGTCATAAAAACTCAAAAAGTGTTTAGTTTGTCTAGTTTAGACACTGTTAAAACATATGGATTGTATTTATCCCAATACATCACTTTCACCTAAATCGTACACACTGGACCTTTTAATGTGTTCATAATTACTAAAAGAAATCACTCCTTTTCTCACAGCACCTCCATCTCCAAACTGAATAATTTTACCCGCCTTGAGCCTACTCTTCAGTTACTGGGGATCTCCTTCGACACAAACACAGTTCAGGGACTGATGCAGGAGAAGCAAGGAGTTGCCACACACCTCCTTTACCAACTCTACATCTCACTTGAAAAGAAGAAGAGAGCAGAAATTACTGGGACAATGATGGAAATCATGCAGCCAGCAGCCAATGCAGGCCTGCACAAGAAGGAGCATGACATCTACTCTGATGTAAGGGGGCTGGATTTGTAGTGGTTGCATTCAGTTAGGGGCCTATTCCGATTTTTTGACCTATTCTGACATAAGTAGTCTCTAATCACAAAGTATCGCAACTCTGTCAGTCTTTCATTCTACCAATATTTTAAGCTCATGTGGTTAGTTTAATATATCACTGTCTACAAAAACATGTATTGTCAAGTGTCTTACAGTTTTACTCCTCATCTAGCGACTGCATCAGGTGGTGAAACGTGATGCAGAGCTGAAGCTGCAGAAAATTTCGTGGCACTATCAGGCAAAATACGAGCAACTGAACTATACGCCTGTCATGACCCATCCCATCCAGCCAAAGAGACCACTCAAAGTCCAGGATGAGAAGAGAACAAAGAATATTGACAAGGTACTGGATATCAGGAAGCATGAAAAGTAAATCCCTGTTGCTAAAACAGTTGCAAAAATTCAGATTTATGATCTGGGACACCAGGGAAAAGCAATCAATTATCTCACATAGAACCAAACTTCAGGCCAATCAGGTCATGTTTTAGTGGTCATGTGACATCATGTGATGCTTGCGAAAACCCCATGGAGACAACACAAACACGAAGTGCCATACTGTCAGCTATATGCTATGTGGGCTATGTCAACATACCAGTATGATGGTGCATTGGTGAGTGTATTAACTCTTATTTTGCTTGTCTGTTTTGTAAGATTCATTAACAGGTAGTACCTAACACCCTGCATATTAACACAATTTGTTGGACAATATATAGGCGGAACCTTTTATTGAGGAGGCCTTCATTAAAATGTTGTTAACATTACGTTAGCTAATGTTATTGCCACATCCCAACTCAGTACCTGCAGAGCACCTACTGCTCCACACTTCAACCAGCGAACCATGGAGTCGCTCCTGTGGGCTGCTCCTGTGATACTTACACAAATAATCCTGATCGTCTAACTGGTCTCATTCAAAAAATTACTTCAACCAACTTATCTCAAGGGTAACACTTATCTTCTATCGAGTGTAAAATGTTGTGCAATAGTTGGTCATTTATGCTGATGACTAGTAAGGTCAAATTAGAAGTTTAAAATTTAAGTGTCTTGTTAATGATTTGATCTCAGCATTTATGTAAATCATTTTAATCTATTCCATAGCAACACCAACTGAATTGAACAATCTGGTCAAATTCTGGGCCGAATGGGAGATTCTACCACCAAGTCTCTCTGTAGGGGTAGTCCAGGGCAGATACTCAACAGCATTCACCTGCTTTGAAACCTTATACATCCCAGGGCATTGCAAGGAACACACATCTTTTAAGAGAGACATCTTTGCCTGTATTAGCACTGAACAGACAAGATAAGTGCATGCACTAGAAATGTTGTAATGTTTAAGCTAGTTGGCTGTTAAAATTGTTGTGTTTGAAAAAATGTTGTTGACTGAATTGTCATACTGAACGGAAATGTCACTTGAAAGGGAGTACTTCACACAAATTACCTTGGAGATTCCCTGCCTTCCTATCAGTTTGGAAAAGGAAGAGGAAATGCTCTTCCACATTTTAATCTTTGATGCACAAGCTATGCAAACCCCTTCTAATGCACAACATGGGTCGAAAATGACCCATATTTATTTCCTGTGTAATTTCATGCATGGCTGGGTGTGTTTTTGCTATATTTATATATTTTATAGCTGATTCTTCCTTCTTCATTTAGGAGAAGGCTCCTTTGACAGTAATCCTCTGTCATAAAAGGAACCTTCATTTAGGAGAGCTGGATTCCAAGACACACCCACAACTCGAGCTAGATCATGTAAAACATAGTCTAGGTCATCAGCATTAAAAATTTCAGACTCATCCTGTTCTTCATACAGCATCTTTATAACCACTTCAGCCGTAAGTCCAAAATGATTGCAACCAGCCTTACTAACACTCTGGATAAAGAGTGTGTATTCATAATTCCTTGTGTCTACTGTGAACGATGAGCATCAGTTTGTGAAGCCTGTGATTAAGTGTGCAGCCTTTATTCTGGGCTCAGACTATCACCAGATTACATCCTCCTTAAACAATACCCGGTGTTTTACAGCTGGCAGAGTATAACCTGCCTCATTCAGACGAAGCAGACCGATTACCTCAGCGGCTCGTGGCGTAATGAGACCGTCATTCAGTGTATCACTGCACTTCACACAGGCGCTTTGTGGAAAATGACGAATTTGCGACAGAGTCTGCAACAGACCAGCAACATCTGGAATAAACACAACAAATCACCAGTTGCCATGATCCCCAGTTAAAGTGGAACGTCGGCGTAGTGCAGCTGACAGCATGGCGCTTCTCGTTTGTGTCGTCTCCATAGTGTTGTCTTCACATGATGTCACATCCCCACTGAAACATGACCTGATGGACCGAAGGGTTGGTTCTTTGTGAGGCAATCGATTGCTTTTTCCGTGGTATTCCGTATAAGTAATCTGAATTTTAGCAGTTGAATATATATACTTTGGATTCTGAATTAGTAAACATTGAAACATAAAAGTGAAAAATACTTATTTTGTGAAAAATTTGAAGAAAGAAATGCAGTGGCAAAAAAATGGGAAAAAAATTCTGTGCTAGAAATTCAAAGGCTATAAAATTTCAAAATCTGATGAGACTGATTTACTTCCATACCAATCTACAGTTATTGTCTTTATCAACATGTCATAAAGTCCAAAAGTCTGATACAATTTTATAAAAAGGTGGTTGAAGAGTTTTGGACCTGTCTGTATTTTTTCTCAGTCTTTGAAATATTTTGGAGTTGGACATTATTATAAAACTATAAGACATAATTCACGTAATGTGACTGACAGTCTTGAACATGGGGAATTGTGTGTGTTTCAGTTTCGTGGATATCGCCAGAAGCACAGTGGTAATTTGACTTATAACCACGCCACCGTTATGCCAGTACCCAAGCCACCGCCTTACGCTTCACAGCTCAACATAAAGACGAGACGACAGCACCAGCAATGTACACAACAAGCACAGGTGTGATCCAGAATGAATACATAACATTGATGATTTACGAACCCATGATGGGAAATACATTTTTACTTTGATCATACTTATACGTATAGAATTTACTATAGAATAGTTCCAAACGAATTCAATAGTGCCTCAGAGGTAATTGTCATGCAACATCAGTTGATGGACTTTCTCACGGGATATGTGATTGTCTTTGGTGTTCTCTGTGCATTTTGCCCCTGCAGGCAGTCCAGGCTCAAATAGCTCAGTTTGAGACAAGCAGAAAGAAACTGGTCACTTCTGGTTTTGGTTCCTCTTCAAGGTGAGAAAAAAGGAAATATTCTATTGTATTATGTTTTTCAAATGTACGTATGAATGGATCTTGAGATTGCATGTGATTTGTGCCATTTCAATTGTAGTGGTCAGCCTGTCACTGGAGTTTTTCCCAGTAGTGGCAGCAGCTATGGCACTGAGGCCCATGAAAGTGGAAATAAGCTGAAACTAAAGTCTGATAGCCAGTACATACAGGAGATCCGACAGAGGCTGAAGGAGAATGCTATCTCTCGGGAGCAGAGAGAGAAAAGACGAGACAGGTTCCTGGTGGAGCAGCTCAAGGCCCATGAAGCTCAAGAGGTGAAACTATTGCTCGTGCTGAGAAAATGTAGTAACTAAACTGTGATCTTTATATGGCAACACAGTTTAAATAAACCCTACATACCCTATTGTTTGTTATTTTACATTTGGCACTTCATCCCAAAATCAGTCAACTGATCAGCCACCTCTGCCTCACCTTACAGGAAGCACGGAGAGAGGAGCAGTTGGTCAAGCATCTGACGCGTCAGACTCAGCAGGAGCAGCGTTTGGCATCTCAGCTCCTTCAGATGCGTATGCAGAAGGAGGTGATCCGGCAGAACCGCGTGTTCAGAGAGCAGCAGTTCCAGCAGCGGCGAGAGCGGGACTTCCAGGAGGCTCTGGAGAGGGAGGCGGTGAGATAGGATGAATAAGGAAGAAGAATAACCCTCTCTAAAGTTGCTTTGTATTAGGCTACATCAGTGACTGTCTGAGTGGTGTCATGGGGGAAAGGGTGGATTTAATTTGTTTGTATAGTATCTATCAATGTGGTATTTGGTATTATGCAGAGAGATTATGAGAGATTTTAGATAAACAACTATATATATCAGTGTTAATTATATAGTATGTTATAGTATACTGTGGTAGTTGAAATTAAGCAGGCATTCCCAGAGCAGATGCTCATGTGATTATGTGTTCGATTCTGCACTTATTTGCTCTTAAATCAGAAAAAGATGAAGAATCAGTTTAAAGAAATTATTTAGGCAGAAAATCATGCGATTAAATGTATTGTATTTGTATTTAACCTGTGATTGGGTATTTTTAATGTTGTATATATATGCAAACTAGAAGATTGAGTGAACTGTTATCCACTAATCTGCTGATTAATTTACAAAAATGTCCAGTGTAACATTTTTCATATTCTCAAGTATACTTGCAACAGTTGTGATTTCTGTCATGCCCTCTCCACTCATCTGATCTTTCTTAATGGTGCCTGGTGCAGGCTTTGGTTCAACAGGCTAAGTTGGACCGCGCAGAAGAGATCAAAAAGGAGCTTGAATTCTTGGACAGGGTCGCTGCTGAGCGAGCTCAGAGCAGATACAAGAAGCACTTTAGGGGCTGCAAGGACATTTTGGAACAGATAGTGGACTTGGCTACCAAGACTGGAGAATATCGTCTGATCACTGCGAAGTACGTAAAACAGTTGCTTTCAATGATGTTGGAGAAACAAACTGTATTTGGACTGAATCTAAACTTCCTAACTGAGCTCTGATCATTCAGTTAATGAGTATGTGGGAATTCAAAAATGTGTTTGAAAATTTGACTGACAAATATTACCTTTAAGTATTGAATGATTTCTTTCTTTCTTTGGGAAAACATGAAAAAGGTATTTCAGAAAAAATATGAAATATGTTTAAATATTGAGTCTTTGCAGTACTTTGCTAATTCAGATGTGAATCAAGGACCTATGAAAAAATACCAATATTGGAAAGGTTCTTGTACGTTAGTCAAATAAAATTAGGAAATTTCAATATCATGTCTGCTTCTTCTCATGATCAAATACATAATTTCCACAGGCATGCACTGCCCATACAACCCTGCTAAGTAGTCCCATGGTACATATATATATAGATAGATACTATATGATAAAATAAATATTTTCAGATTTAATTTTAACTACAATTTCATAAATTAAGTCCAGCTTTTCCTTCTGTCATTTTTGCTATCAGTCGGATTCCAGAGAAGCTGACAAGAGAGTGGAAGGAATTGCTGTTCAGTGGTATTCCTCTCTATGAGCCGATCATGGGCCAGCAGCCCGGCTTTGAGTTCTCTACCTCACTAGATCCTGTAGAGCTTGAGAAGCAGGAGATACTCAACAACCAGGACTATGATGAGTACACTGTGAGTTTGAAACATGAGTTATATTTTAAATGATGTCATTTGTGTTGTTTGACATTTTCAGGCAAATGCTGATTTCACTGCCAGTATCAGGCGCACTTAGAGTTGAAGCTAACCAAGAAATATTTATTCACACTGAAAAAGTTTGAGTTGTAATTTAAAATAAGCCATGAAGTGTCTGAATGTTGAAGAATCTCAGTGTCTTAGCAGTATACTATGTTTGTCAGAATATGGTCGGAGAGTGGGTCTGGCCAGAGAAAGCAGGGGAGACCAAATCACCCCCAAGCAACAACAGCATTCTTGGACATGTTGTTCTGCGACTGAGGAACATTGTGCATCCACCCATCGTGAAAGCCACCTCGCTCTCATTTCCTCACTTTACTGTCAAAGCCTGTGTCCTGGGCAAGTTCTGTTCCGGCAAGACCACCTGTCTGGCCAAGATTGCTGAAGGCAAGCAGTCCGAACAGAGATTCAGGCATACACTCATACCCAATGTCACACCACCTAATACATTTTTACTGCAACAATACATTAATAACAGATGTGGAACACGATTACATGGTTTATTGGTTGCTGAGTATGTGTGTTGTTTTCTGTTTTAGCCAATGGCATCTGTGTCTTATCAGCTGACACGCTGATTGAGGAGGCGCTGAATGCTTATCATAAAGAAAAGAAGGTGAGTCACATAGTGTCAGAATATTGTAATGTCGTTAGAACCTTTTTTATTGAATCGATTCACATCATTTTCAGATGTTAAGGCAGTATAACATTTCATTAGTCTTGCCAGTTTTAAAATGTATAAATGTGTAAACAAATTACCCTTAAAAGTTCAAAATGTTCAAACAAGTCTTTTCTTGCACCAAATTACAGGTCACAGAGCAGCAGGGGGAAACAGACGAGCCACTGCTCAGCTCCTCCACATCAGTGAAATCTGGTGGGTAACTAAAGACAACATAATTATTTCTGTTATTTTACACTATTCATCACAGTGTATTTATTTACATGTGATAAAAATGAAGTGCATGTAAAACATTTCACATATTTTGTTTGATGTGATACCTGTCCTGTTTTTTCAGACCGTGACACTCAAGAAGAAAATGGAGATAGCAATGAGAGAGTAAAGGTCCAAGTTTTTTGTGGTTACGCATGTTGCATTGGTGATTTTCTGAGTTCGGTCATTTTGAATTTACTTTTACATATCATAACTTGCATTCAGTTTATGTCACTGCTTTTTTAGACTTAATATGATTAAATAATTACTACTAATTGCCTATGTGTGTCCCTTATCTAGCTGTCTACAAGGGCCGTGCAGGGAGCAGCTGCAGAAAAAGAGCTGAGAAGAGGAAACCCCATTCCTAATGAGCTGTTAGTAGATATTATAGTGGAGGCGATCAAGTAAGTACATAATCTGTATTGCTATAAAAAAAAAAAGAAACAGCGTTTAGTCAGTTGTCCAATCTCAACTATACAATCTCACCATTATTCACAGAGTTGAGACAATTGAAAAACAACGATTTTACCACCGCTGTGAAATATTTGTTGCGTTCTTATTAGGCAGGTCCCAGCTCAGTCAGGTTGGATCCTGGATGGCTTTCCAGTGGACATCAACCAAGCCTACCTGCTAGAGAAAGCCCTGGGTGGAGCTGTAGACATAGGGAGTGGGGTGGAAAGCAGCAGGGCGGACCTTGCTGTTGATCCTTATCCACCCAAACCTTTGCCTCCCCAAAATCCTGTGTTAGACGTGGTTTTGCTGCTTGATATCCCTGATGAGGCTGTGGCCGGACGTGCATTCGCTCACACTGGTGGGAGTTTAATGCTTTGTATCTGTGTACGCACAAATTTATCTGTGAGATGGTGTGTTTTTTTAAAGATACAAACATAACATATGTAAAGTTAATGTTTGTGTTTCTATGTGTTTTTCTTCCTTGCTCCCAATTCTGGTACAGATACAAGCTCCCCTTCCACAGACAAAAATGTGTATCTGGCACAGATTCCACACAGGTAGAACAAGACAAAAACCTAAAGCTAAATAAGGTTAATGCTTCACTGCTGACTACAGCGTGTGTCTTAAATCAAACATCTCTCCCTCTAATTCAGGATCAAAGCTTTTCAGGACACCTGGCTAAAACTTGAGAAATGGTTTGGTGGAAAGCAAAACATTTTGGTTCGTGTTGATGCCAGTGTAGTCAAGGAGGAGCTTTACAAGAAGGTGGAGTCCGTCCTGCAGCAGGTTATGATGCAAATGCAGCAGGGTAAGTTTGTCATTTTAGTATTTGGCAAATATTAGTAGACTAAAATTACAATACTTGTTAACAATACATTTACATTCCTTCTTCAGCTCCTGCCACTTCTCCTGTGGAAGAGGTGTCAGAAAATGGGAAAGCTCCAGACTCCTCCCCAAAAGGAACTCCTCTACCTGTAGACCAACCTCCACCGCTCACTGATGAAGCCCCTGGCCCTACAGAGTCCCCCACAAATCCACCTGCATCTGCTTCACCCTGCCCTGTTTCATCCAGCTGGGTCTATGTGGATCAACCTCTTCCTCTGGTTGGATAATACTTGTATTTATGCTTGTTTTACTAGAGTAGGAAGTGCACACCTGATCTCTGTCTGCGCTGAAAAATCTTTAACTTTAAATGCAATCAAACCATACGTTTGTATTGTAAAAGATTTAGCTCCTAAAACTGTGGTTTCCTATTTTTATTGTCTTTCGGTTTTAATTATATGAAAATGCATGTCATTATTGTCTCTGTTGCATTACAACATGTCTTCTCACCCTCCTCATCTCTGTTTCTAGGAAATCTCAGAGTACTTGTGCACCCACTGGGAAACAGTGTGTGATTCTTATGTCAACAACATAAAGACAGTGATGCAACAGCTGCGCTCACAAAACATTGTTATTAGCCATCACCTGTTCAACCTCAGGTATTCTGCAAGGCCCTTGAAGCACAGATACCATGCTGCACCATGTTAGCTACAATCAATTGATATAATGAATTGGTTTAGTACTAGGTTTTGTAATGTAAGTTTATTGCTGAAGATACAGTTGAAAATCTTACTATATATAATTAGACTCATAGTATTGAACATGATTGTTTTTATTTTTTGGACTGGATATAACCCAAATGTTCATTTCATACCATTAGGTTCTTTGTCAGAAATATTTTTCATACGAGAGAAAAAGTATCAATGATAATTATAACATTTAGTAATACAGAAGTGTGACCCAGTTCCCTGTATCTGCAGAGAGGAGTTCCAGCATTATCTAAAGCGTCCAGACATGATGCAGGAGTTAGTGACTCATTGGCAGAAGGACTTCAACAACATTTCTGATGATATGAGAGAAGATGACGAAACAAAAGCAGAGCTACATCTGAGACTCGATGTAAGATGGTTGCTTTAAAATATTATCAGACAAATATAGAATATGTGTAGATGTTTTGATTTGTTTTACAGGAACTGCGTGAACGTTTGTGGGACATGAGTGACAAACGCAAAGAGCGGGACGAGCAGGAGAGGGATGCTCTCATGTATAACGGCTGGCTGGAGGAACATACTGCCATACTCATCAACCACCATTCTACTCTCATGCAGGTAAATTATCAGTTTGTGTGTACAGTACATTTAGAGAGTATTCAGACCACTTAATATTTTTCAATTTTCTATGTTTTCAGGCAGCCATTTTTTTGTCCTCATCACTTCTCACTTAATATCTCCTAATAACAGAAATATATGCAAAAAGAAAAAACTGTTCTATCGATCACTCATCAGATGATTCTACACTTTGATGAGAAAGACACAGATCAGGATCTGTTTATATAAGGTATCATAGCTAACAGAGTAAAAACCAAACCATGAGTTTGAAGGATCGGACCTTGGGAAGGCTGATGGTTTCTAAGAGAACAGGGACCTCGCTTATTCTTAAGTGGTATAAGTTTTGAATGACCAGGACTGCTCATGGAGCTGACCTTTAGGGAGATGGGAGAAATGTCCAGAGGGACAACCATCATGATGCTGAATGAATGTATTAACTTTTTGTCTCTTTATTGTGACTTAGTTTATAGTAAAACTATAATCTTGGATTGTTTTGTGTTTTATAGGTGGAGTTGGACCGCTTCCAGGAGACCCTCTGTATTCTTAGGATCTACTATGTGAACATGTACAAACAGGTGGGGCCTGAGCCACTATCTGACTTAGTCTGTATCCCTTTACTGGGCATCGAAGAAGATAAGGATCAGGACAAGAGGCAAGAATACAATTTTTTATAGCAACTTAAAAATTTCAATACAAGATAATTAACTAAAATGACAAATATGTAAATAATATAATGATAACAAATGGAGAAAATTATACATTCTTTTTTTTTTTACCAGTGCTGAACCAGCAGACACAAGTGGGTGTGTTCAGCTGGATGACAGAGAGGAAAGGAGAAAAACTAAACTGTGAGGAAAACACACTACTACATACAGTGTACAGTTCTCTGCAGCATGTTTGATCAAAGAAATGGTTATCATAATAACTAAACAACTAAACAACTAACAACTAAATATTGCCCAGCACAAACACATATAAATGCATAAACTATTTCCTCCTATTCTCCAGTATTCCCTTCCTCTCCAAACATCCTGATTCCTCAGAAAGGGCCCCCAAGACACAAGGCGTGGGTCAGACTCAACTGGTCAAGGCAATTCCTGTTTCTCTTTATGTACATTTCATCCATCTTTTGTTTTTTGTCTTTCTGTGGTCCTCTTGTTGACTTTAAAATCCACACACATCAACTCATAAAGGACTGCTATAGATATTATATTATCTGCTGTTGTTTGTGTCAATTAAAATGTAGTTTGTGAAATTGTACCTCAAACCAATCCAACTCTGACAAATATAAATGTTTATATACTGATATACAATCTGATAGTAAGATGTCGAATCTTGTCTACTCTAGCCATCCGCCGAGAAACTCATCTCTGACTATGAGGAGGCACTCAGAGCCATCAGCAAATTGGTACTGCACTGTTTGAGTTTTCATGAGTTGTTTTGTGGAAGTATATAGTGTATGTCACTCCTAATTTGTGTGGCTCATACATGCGTTTAGGTGTCAGCAGAAGGCCACCAGGGGGAGACAAAAGAGCAGAAGGACAGACTACAAGAAAAGGAGTCCACTGCAAGTGCAAGCAAAAAAGGAAAAGGAAAACAATCACAGAAAAAACAGAAAGGCACGTCTTAGAATTAAAATGATGGAGCTTTGCCCTCTGACACGTTCTCTATGTTTCTGTAAATCTTCCAAATAATTATCTCCTACTCTTTTACATTCCACCAGCTCCAACATCCACACCTCCTTCACCCAGTCCTGTACCTGCTGAAGACTCTCATGATCAGTCAGTCAGAGACAAAATACAAAAAGAATATGCAGCTGCGCTGGAGCATGAGGGTATGCCCACACAACTAAACCCTTTGTGATATGATTGTTATTAATATGTATGAATTTGAAAATATGCACATACATATCTACACATTTGTGTGTTTTCTAGAGAATGCAGCGAAAGTCCGCATTGCGCTGGTGAAAGGTCATGGTCTGGTTATGGTGCAAACAATGCAAAACAGAGCAGAACAGGTCTTTAGCAAAATGGAGAAGTGGTTAGAAGCCTATTATCTTTCAGAAATGAAGAGGTATGTTGTTAAGAAATATAGACACATATGAATGACTGACATTAATTTGAGGTAGCAATAGTTTAACTCTGCACTGTGAG